TGTTCGTATTAGTAAGGTCAGGAGCCCCTAGTAGCTTCTTGTTCGTAGCAGTAAGGCCTGGAGCCCCTAGTAGCTTCTTGTTCGTAGTTGTATATAGTTCTTACTTCCGTTCTTCCTCTTGGGGTTCGGTGGTTGGTTTGGTTCCTCCGCGCCGGACTGTAGCTTGATTTGACACCCCGATGTGCAATTGACGTGGTATGACTATGACTGGACAACTGTCTTTTTTCACGCCGCACTGCTGGTTGGGCTGTGCAGTCAAGAGGTCTCTTGCCCCAGAAGATCCGAGGCTTAGTGCCACGATCTACATCAAGAAGCTTGGAGAAAGAGCTTGTTGGGGCCGAATGGAATTTTAGATATAGAAAGGACTGAAGAGCTCCACTCACCCTACCTCCCAAAAAAGGACCGATTCAACGAGCTGGTTTGGATCTTCTCTCATGCAGTCCTTAAGAGTCCTTAAGAGTCCGAAAGAACCTCCGTCCGTCCGGCCACGTGTTCGTCGACTCCACGGAGCCGCGCCGAAACCGACGGAGAACGAGCGCGGAGCGGTCACTGAGTGGGTTGTGCGGTCACGAGAGCCGAGGAGAGGAAGCGAGAGTCACCAGTGGTTTGGAGATAGATTCCTGGCCAGTGAGGGTGAGGACGGGGATATGAGCGTGTTCAGGTTCATGGAACTTAGTCGAACTAGGCGTTGATTTTATTACACGGGTGGTGTGGTTCACCCTGGAGGCTCGCGTGGAAATCCACGGTCGTCGCTTGAAGAGAACCTGGACCCTCCTGGCGCGCACGGCCGAGAAAGGCACCTGGGTCGTTCGAGCCATGAAGAACTCCTCTCCGTTTGAGGAATACAAGCAAGCGACAGAGGGTTTGTTTGTTTTGTTTGTTTTTTGTGTGAGAGATCTTTTGGGGAGATTGTGTGTTGTATGAGTTTCTCGTAACTATGTGAGCTCTTAGTTTGATCTGTCACTGCTGCTCAGATGACAAGCAACTCTTCCTCAAGCATGATCCGTTGGAAATGGGGTGGCGAATAGGAGACCACATAGGGCTCCTTGGCCGAAGAAACTGGTGAAGTTTCATGCCCCGCATGTCGTGTGGGACACGTCCAAAGAAGATGATGCATGATTAGGCTGCCTTCTCAAACATGTAAAACCTTTTCCACCTCCTTTTGCTGCTTGTGAAGGTTTTAGCTCCTATGGAGCGACGGGTGCTCAACCGGTGTTCCAAGTGGATTCATGGTGATTCCCTTCCGAACCCGAGGCTGAGAGCTCTTTGCCCCACAAATTGATGCAGCATCTCTTCTTGCTAGTAGGTTGGAGGCCATGGCTATTATGTTGGAGGACATCGCTTGTAAGGCGGAGCAACGGAGCGAAGCAGAAACCCGAGGCTGGCGACCACCTCGCGGGGGCAGTCTCCGGAGCGCCGCATCGTGGACATCAGTGGCTCAGATGGACCTGGGAGAGGATGGAGAGAGGGGGGACCTAGGTGAGGATCTCCAAAGACGTGAGGACCTCAAGAACCACCTGCGGCGGGAATGTCGGCCGAGGTCCCGCCACCGTTTGGCGGCTGGACCTGCACAATGCGACGGCGGGTCGGTGCCTGAGGGCCGTCATTTCAGAACATCCACATGTCTTTTGCTTGCGGTGTACGGCTGGGGGGGGTGAATGTCGGCACCTCTGGCTGGGATGAAGAGGGAATGATTGAGCTGAGGTGTGGAACGAGAAGCAGCTTCCAACACCATCGATGGGTGACTTGGCAAAACCGATGCCAACACACGGTCTTCGAAAACGGTCTGATTTCTATGTGAAGCATGTGAACAGGATGCTTCACATGCTGCACCTGCTGCATGCTGTTGTGCCGCGAGGCTTCTGAACACCGAATGGTCCAGTTGGTGCGCTCCCTATTGCACAGGCGCACGACGAACACCGGCACGGCGTCGGCGTGCCCATCCTGCGGCGCGCGACCAAGGGGGGCTGTGTGGAAACAGACCTTCCAAGAGAGGTTGAGAGACCTGAACCGTTGAGAGGTTGAGGGACCCACCAAAAGTGATGGATAGGGTCAATAGAGTGCTGTTACAGGCTGGAAGTTGGTCAGTCTTTGCTGAAAGACGTGGGTCCTTCGAGCGCAAGTCCATTCCCAAGTTCTTTCTTCCCACCTGGCTGTAGACCCGTAGACCCCACCTCCATCTGAAGATGATCACCTCCATCCCATCCATGAAATCTCTACCAACCCTCGGACCAGATTTAGCAAGACATGTCTCAAGTCGAGGACGTCCAAGAATATGGTCCCCCGGCATCCCTTGAATCTTACAAGAAAACGCGCAGAAAAACCCGCAGATGCACCATCCAACCCTCTCCCCACCGAATGACTGGCCCTCGCCGATGGGCCTCGATGGGCCTCGATGGGTGTCGTCAGGCGCTGGCGATGAGCACTGGCTGGAAGTGCAACTGGCGGCCTTGAGCGAGGTCTCTCACGTGAAGCTTTATTGGCATGCCGAGCGCTACGCGCCCGTCTCCCAGGTGAACGCACGTGACCGCGGGGAGAACCAGAGAGATGCGGAAAAGAGGGATGGTGAGGGTGAGTGAGGTGGGTGGGGATGGAAAATACATTAGGTTAGTTGCAATGGTGGAGGACAGATTCTTTTTTGTTTCCTACAGGTCCTTTGAGGCTCGGTCACTGGAGACCGTCCGACTTCGCACTGTACTTGTTCGCCTCATGGGGCTTCTTTCTGGCGCGAAACGCTTTCGCCAGGTGGAGGTCTGCGAGGATCGCTGCCGTGGGGTCCTGGCCACCGTGGGTGACCTGGATCTCCGCAGCTTCAAGCACTCGGAGCCTCAGGCGTCGGCGTCGGCGTCAGGGCCGGGCGTCAGGGCGTCGGCGTCGCCGGGGGTGCCGAGCGAGAGCCGGTTCCGGGACCTCGGTGGGGGGGCCAATCGGCCAAGTGCAGGAGGACTGCCCTGCAGGGAATGTGACATAGGCATACATAGGCAAGCAAGGAGACCTTGTCCGTGACAAAACACACCAATCAAAATCATCAAGGAGCTGCAGCTGTGTTGTCGAAAAAACAAGGGGACCATTGTCAGAGGCCCATCCCGAGCTACTTGGAAGTGTCACCAGTGCTCACCTTTTGTGTGGTATGGCTGGGTGCAAAACCACCGCATTTCTCCCGAAGAGTGGCGTCCCGCTTCGGGATGGCGGTCATCTGCCGCAAGCGCCACGGAGGTGGTGAAGCTGGGCTTCCAGGGGACTCACATCCGGGTGAGCGCCAGCTTTGAGGAGCTGCCCGGGGCACCCAGGGATTTGGGTTTGTCACCCGGGGGTTTTGCGCGGGGGAAGTGCGGTGGAAGCGCTGGGGAACTCGGGGGTGAGTCTGTGGAGGTGTGCAGGGGATGTGTCACAAGTCACTGGTATAGAAGGCCAAGGTCGGTCGTCTTAGAGGATCCACTGGTGACCTACTGTGGTCCTGGTACTTGGTGCAATTATATAGATGTGTTTGAAAAGAACGATGACTCGGTCTGATGAACCACCATGGAACTTTTTTCAAGGGCAGAAGATGCAACAGCATCCAAAAAAGATACCCTGACATACATAGGTCCTGAACTGATGTTCCCAATGCAAGTCCCTCTCCTACTAATCGACGGTCTCATACTTCTTGGAGTCTTCAGTTTGGAGAAATTGTCGTGTTTTCAGTACAGGAATTGCGCGCTCTCGTGGTCTCAGGAAGGTTCGAGCAACTCCTCATTGGGTCTGGAACTCAGACGTGGTCGAGGTTTGCCCCGAAGAAGCAATGCCTTTGGTTTTTTTCCCAGCACGGAATGCCTGCGGCTTCCGGCTTCCGAGATCAGAGCGGCTCAGGCCGGGCTCTTGCTGTACGAGATCAGAGCCTATGGCAAGGAGGTGAATGTAACAGCTCCGGTGGCTCCATGGCTGCACAGAGATTGTTGGAACTTGCAGTCCCCAAAAGGGTGGACTCCCGGTAGACTTGGTAGACGTGAGGATTGGCAAAGAAAGCACAGGTTGCCTCCCTGTATAACCTACAAGCCATGACACACACACACACACACACACACCCATTGACAAATTTGATCAAATTTGCTTTCGAAGTGCCTGGAACCTGGGTGGCTTGATGCGGTTTGCACCTTCGCTGCAGGTGCTTCATTTGGATAATGGCTTGAGCAATGAGCACTGGGGTGGATTTCGGGAGGCCCGAAACCGAGCCCTTTTTCCTTTTTTCCTCCAAGCGCGGTGGGATTTCATTTCTTTCCAAGATTCAGCGAGGTGGAAGGCTATTCGCTGGAAATGGCAGCAGAGGTGGAAGCTTGGCAACAGCACGGGAGAGGGCATAGGTGTCCTCCAGATTGCCATGTTAAGCGTGAGAATATCTCGATGAACATTGAAAGGAGGCGTCGCAAAGTCAAGGGACGAAAGGGCGGCCGCAGAACCTGAGGGAGATGCGAACACGATCTTCCATGTCAGGCACGTGTCTTCGCCACGCCGAGGTCAATCTGAATCGATCGGTGGTGATCACAGGAGACCATGACGACTTCAAGCTTTCACGGAAAGGCGGGCGTGGGGGGGAACATGCGCAGTTCCAAAAGAAGCCCTGGGTAAGGGTTTCCTTGAGAGCATTGGGGCCTATAGGATGCAACAAGAAGGAGAAGAAGAAGAAGAGGGGGAAGAAACAGGGGGCTGTGTGAGATATAGATATATTACATAGCCAAAGGGCTAAAGACTCAGACTATGAAGTTGCGTCACTTACTTTTTGTTACTAGGGGCAAAAAGGTCCCTTGAGGCATCCACCTCCTGAAATAGCATGCAACCGTCCTTTTCTGCGGAGGTTTGCACACGATTTCCGCCCACGGCGGAGTGATGGACGTGCGGTACACGCGAATTGAGTACTGCCTGTGGCCCAGACGGTCTGTCCATTGCTGTCGGTCTGAAGACCTTCCCAAGATGACTTTCAGGTGGACAGCAGAACCACATGGGCAAGTACTGCTTGCACTTTCACCATGCTGGGCAGTGTGCGGATTGTGTGTTCATGGGGAACACCATCTACGAGTGGCCTGGACTGCAAGTGGGCAGCTTTCTCCGGCCGTTTCCGGAGAAAACCACCGCGACCGGGCGCGGGGCACGGAGTGCATCACCCATGAGGTCGGCACAAGTGGGCATCACGGTGCATGGCACCCATCGATCTCTGGTGGAGAACAACATCCTGTGGGACACGGCAGCTGCAGGTCCGCCCGTGAACTCTGTGTGATCCGGTGAACAGACGCCGTGTGATCCGCTCCGGGCGTTTTCCGTGGCAGGCATTTATATCGAAGATGGCAATGAAATGTTCAATACTCTGAGCATCTTGGTTACATCAGTCTGGTTTGCCCATGCATATAAGATGTTTTGAACGCATAAAGTGGGTGCAAGAGGCCTCGTGCGAGAGGGTCATGACTGCATCTAATGCAAGACCTAAAAAAGCTTCACATGTTTTGGGTTCTTTCCCGAGCTGCTCAAATCAGCCCCTCAACCTCCGGACTCTATCAGCATCCCCCGACCGTTCTCTCTCTGCTAAGGCAACAATGTCATCATTTGCACTTGGCATGCCAAGTGTACAACTCCCTGGGATGTGCAGCTGGGCAACGTTGCTGGCATCTACATGTCTCTTGGCAGCAGTGCCGGTTCCATCCGTTTCAAGTTGTTTCAAGCGATGTGTCAGCGTTTTGACATCGTATCCAGCTCTGGTGATGTCCTCCAGGATAGGCATGACCAACAATGTCATTGAGAACCGAGTGGCGGGGTTTGAAAATTGTGCCTCGGCAGCTGGCAGCTCTACTTCTTACAAACATCTGAACCAGAAACCACTGACTGGCGTCAGTTCTGCTGATGCCGAGGTATTTGGACCATTGGTTCCATCGCTTTGCAGGGGCAGGGACAGGCCCTAGGCCGCGTGTGCCCGCAGCACACGCCCTTTGGCACCTTCCGGGGCAACGTGTGCCACGACAACAACCGCTTCGGGACCCGGTTCGATCTGTTCGTGGCGTCGGGACTACGACGACCGTGGTTCAAGAGAGCGTGGCCCATTTTGGAAGCAAGAGGGCCGGGAAAGGGATTTGGACCCCGCGCTCTCGGTCGGGTTCTTCCGCGCTTCACCCCTGCCCTGCTAGCTCTTCAGAGCACCAACCCTCGGCCAACCAGAACTTGAGACCTGCGCAGGATCTACTTGGACAACCAGATGCCACGCAATCTCGAAAGGGACTCGCTGCTTGGCGCAGTACCCCCACGTGACGGGCGTAGGACGTGACCTGTGCTCGTTCGGTGTGGACTCTCTCGTTGGCTCTTCGTGGGGCGGAAGAGATCGACGAAGGCTGCTCTTTTCGGTTTCTGGAATGTCCTTCGATGAGCTGGGGACCCCAAAGATCGACAGGTGATGTCGATGGACTCACCGCGCGTGTTTTTCGAATTGGTGGCTGCGCGTGCTTTTCTCGTTTTGGGTGACGTTTGGGCGAGGGACTTTCAATTTTGGCCGATCGTGCGGTACCCTGGGGCTCCTGGCCCACCTCCTGAGGTTCGGTGACTGGGGTGGGTTTTGGGGGTCTAACCACCTTCTGAGGATGCGGTTGGAGCCCTAGGGGACCGTATTACAGTATGTGCTATCGAACATGATCCACGTCGCCGAAAAAAGCCGTGTTCAGGAATGGCTTCGTGGTGGACATGGGATCTTGCGGCGAGTTCACACAGGATGGCCGTGACAATGGGCTAAGCCCTGCCAATGTCATCGAAGACCAGTTTGATTGGCACAATGATTTCGTGGGCCAGTGCCATGGCGAAGGCAAATATTTTTTCACGCCCGGAATGCATGGGCTCTGGAGTCTCAAGATCTCAAGACGTTTTTCTGCTTGTTCGCTCATAACTCATGACGCAGCAAACCGTGGGGTCGGATCACTGTATCTCTTTAGTTCACTGATGGACTTCGTCGCTTCTTTGTGCAAGGTATTCGATGGGCGATGTCGCCTTCCTTCGCTTCGTGAGCGTCAACAATGCTCATGACATGTCTCTTGGCTCACCGAATGAAACCGCAAACCGCTCTTCGCTCCTTCGACGGACCGAGTGTACAACTCCCGAGACGGGACGCGCGCGGAACCTACCGAACTGGTTGGTTCCACGGAGGTACTGGAAGGAGTCCAAGAACTTTGCAGATGGACGCTTGGCTGTTTTCGCAGAGTCGACGTTTGGGCTATCTATTAAAAAGAGCGTGGACTACTTGTACTTTCTGGCAGATGTGGCTCAGGAGTCTCACATCACATCAAAGATTCCTTGTTCCTGACCGATCCCAATGTCCCAACCTCAGTCACCATCTCCGGAAGTGACATGCACATTCAGACCGCAGCGACCCAGCGACCGCACCGACTTGGCGTTTCTCCAGACCGAGCGTCTCAGGACGACACCGTCCTGAAGGTGGCGCTGATTGCAGGTCCAGCCGGTCCGTCCCTGGGAGAACCGCGCAGCTGGAGCGGAGCGGTGAAACGACAGGGATTCTCTTGAGCATTGGAGAAACGATCGGTGAAACCCATCGGTGAAGCATGGTGGCCACCTGGCCAGCTGAAGCTCTTCCTTCAGATGTTTTCTCCAACGCTTTTGGATTAGTTCAGAGTGTTTACACTCCGTACTCCATAGCTTAGAAGATCCACAACACCAAGCACCACTGGGCCCAGTCACCCAGTCCAGTTCGATGATTTCCTGGACCTCGGACTGGGCATCGAGTCACGTCGCTGACTCCCTCTCTCCGCAGCTTCCAGGTTCACCTTCCGCATCACGAACACGACCTTCGGTGGAGGACACCTGGGCTGTGGGGCCATTTGCGCTGGCCAACATTGTGGCCTGGGAGGCGCAGGCGTGGTTGCCGCCCATGGAGGAACTCTAGTGCTCTGAGGCTTTGAGGTGTTTTAATCCAACCGATAGCCCAGCATGCAGTGAGCAGCAACGTCACGCTCTACGCGACGGAACGCTCGCAAACAGAAAGAGGTTTCACCATGGCTCAGGGATCACACGCATCTCTGCAGCATGAAAGCAACCTGTACTGAAGTAAATGTTTGGATGATCCTGCTAGCCGTTTTAAGGTTTGGATGCAAAACTCACGGTACAATTCCCATCCCGATCAGTCACAGACAGAAAAGAAAGCGGCTGCGATGAGCTGTGCTTTTCCCTGCCAGGTGGTCCATGTAACGTGCAGTACTTGCTTTCTGGCGTGGACTTCTCCAAGGCTGGCCAAGAAAACAGATGTATTGACTGTATTGATTAGGCTGTGGCAGGTCGGTCCCGTGGGTCCGCCTGGATGATGGGATGGACACCTGTCAACTCGAGGTGCACCCTGGAGACAAAAAGATCGTTTTTGGCATCAGCACGGTCGACTTGGGTTATGTGCAGCCCATCTTCATCGCTGAAGATGACTCCCTCGGCGGCTACAGGCGAGGCTGCCGCTGTGCACAGCAACTTCTTCGTGTGATGTCCTCCGTGAAGAAATAAGGGATCGAAAGCGGACGGAGGAATCATTGGGTGTCTTAACATGTTCATAGACAGCTTACTGTATTCCCTGTACATGTTTTATACAGCTATACTGGGCTATACTCATTAATGAGTTCTTCTGCTGCGAGAGTGATCGGCGCAATCGACACCGGTCCTGGACCGAGTGGGCAAGGTCCATGGTTAGCAAGCATCTCAATGGCTTCGCAAAGCTCCCAGGATGCCAGGCCCAGCTGTGTGGTTGGGAGTCATTTTAAACTCCTGACGCCATGCAATGGAAGAATGGTTTGTGTTCATTTATGGTTTTCACGCCCGGTATGGCCTGTTGCATGGATCTGTGGTGAATCCACATTCGGAATCCAGTGGTCATCCTCTTTGAGTTGGAGGAGCAGTCTTGAAAGCAAAAGCAAACCGAATGAAATGCATATAATTTGGACAGAATTATATACTTGATCCTTTCGTTTGCTTGCTCTTGAATGGACGATCTTCAGCGCCTTTCCGGATCTTTTCTTGCGCCCGGCTCGTCGCGCCCGGCTCGTCGTCGCGCCGCGCGTCGGACGAACCGGTGAGGTGATGGGCGAGGAGTGGGACGAGGCGGTGGCGTGCGGCGGCCACGTTCGTCGGCTGAACCTGTGGAGTGCCAACTTGGGAGACCTGAATATGTACGGCGCCACGGCTGGAGTGGTGGAAGCCGAGGTGGGAGGTGAGAGGTGGGGAGAGAGGTGGGGAGAGATGAGAGCTGGCAGAACACCATGGGATTGGTGATATTGTCACATGCACCTAAGTCAGGACGTTTTGTAGTTCTTTGAATGCTCAATGCATTTGGTATATAGACGTGCTTCTTTCTTTGAGGGTTTCTGCTGCCAAGCCGTGTTTCTTCTTAGGGCCTGGCTATGACGTGGAGCCGACGCTGACGCCTGTGGTGAAGGGCATGAATGCTGGGAAGCTGCTTTTTGAGCCGATGCATGGTGGTTATGGTGCTGTGGTCGTTGTGGGTCAGAACTATTCGCTGAAAGGAGAGACGCGCAAATCGCTGGATCTGATTGGGGGGGGGATGAACGTATCACAAGCTGTATCTGAAGGTGGAAGGGAATGGACGTGTTGCAACAGATTCTCTTGAGATGATGTTGCGATCATCCCTTGTTCTACGTATTTATGATGAGCAATCATACATTTGGGCAACTCACATGAGCCCAGGCAAGGCGTCCTCGTGAATTGGAGCCTATCAGCAGTGTAGCGTCTTGCAGCTTCACCTTGCTTTACTTGAAAGAGAGGTGTGGCCCTTTTTGCCATCCAAGTCTTCGAGCGAACATGTCGGCCAGGAGACTTCCGTGGAGACATCTCAACGGAATTGTCCGATGTGATTCTGGCGAAGACCTTTGACTTGGAGGAAACTCTTCACCTGACGATTGGGAATGAGACTTGCAAGGCCACGACGCAGACGCGAGGACGCGAGCGCTTTTTCCGCGCTTCGAATCGGTGGTGATTCGGTGCTGATTGGCTGGGGTGGTGACAAGGGTTGTTGGTGTGCCCAAACTGTTTGGGTTTCGATCGTGCGTTGATGGGAGTATCTAGCCCCCCCCAAATCCTCAATGAGTGTAGAGCGTAGAGTCCCCCAGTACTAAGCCTAGCACGAACCATTGGGGGAGGCTATGGCTGTTTTCTCGAGTTTTCTTCCCAGGTGTCAGTTGGACCAGGAGGTATTCAGATCTACCTACTAGGACACCCTAAGGGTGTCTAGGTTAAGGGGTGTCCATTAACCACCCCGTGTGGGTCCGTTCGTATATGGCAGGGTGTCCATTAAACGGGTGGTGGACCAGGAGGTCTCGGCTTTTCCTCCCAGGTCTCGGTACAGGATGATCGCAGTTGGCTCGGGGTGCGTGGACCTGCACCGTGGACCTCTCCGCGCGTGTCCTGCCTCACACGAGCCTTTGAGGCTCGTGGCGAACCGGGGGGTGGGAGTGTTGGCTGTGGCGAACCCCAAGCACACCCAGTTGGGAGTTTGGGGGTGCATCAGCTCTGTGTGATGTGATTTGGAGAAGTTAGATTTGGGAACCTTGCGGGTCAGAGGAAGGGGCAACCAGTTGAATAGTTTGATAGGGGCGGTGCAACATCATCAAGCGTTTTCCAGGTGCTGTTCGCCCGCGCAGGCCAACTATTTGACCAACGGAGGGACTACGACCTCACAGCCAACCACAACGACAGCCCTTTGACTTGCAGGAAGAATTAGAAAGCGCACCTGTGCTAAATCGGAAGGGCCTTGAAGGGTAAGGATGAAACAGATGCACAGACTAGACACGTCGGTGCCAGATCTCGCCTTTTGCAATTTGACATATCATGCCATCTTCATTTGTAACGAGTCAGCAGATCATGAAAGAACATCCCAAAAGCAAGCTTCTTCCAACACCGGTGTCCCAGCTACCAAGCAGCTCTAGGGAGTGACGGCTTCGCTTGATTGGCCGCCCACGATCTCGCACGCGGGCCGTGATCGTGCGCACGCCGGGTGATCACGAGGTCACCGGAACGAGTGGAAGCTGCGCGTTGGAGAGTGAAGTCCCCTGCTGCCCCGATGGGAGCTGTGCAGATCGATGTACAGGTGGGTGGAACGTGGGTGGGACGGATTGCGTGTGGGTCACAAAGTCCAAGCGGGTGTGATCGGATCACACCAAGGAATGAAAGCAACAGAACCAGCGTCTGTGGTGTGCTGCAAACCCATGGTATTTGTCACAGATCCGTCCATTCAAGGGGTGAAAGACAGTCTCAGTATTCCTTGCTTTTAGGTGGGGTATGGGATGGGTGCCAGTAGGGTCGCTTTTGGAGGATCGGATGTGAGCCTCTGTCTACACAGTCTCTTTGAGAGCGTTGCAGGTCAGACAGGCTCAGAGTCAAAGAGACGAAAGGACCATTTTTGGTACCTTGACGTGACCCCGAAAAGAACTTTCTCCACTTCAGGATTCAGTATGAGGCAAGGAGGGAAGCTGATGTCGAGTGCGTTGCCCAGCTTCAGGTTCTCAGTGCTGCCCATCCTCCAGCGGCACTGTCACATGCCCTTCATCCTCCAGTGTGCAGGTGGGGAAGGGATGGGAAGGGCAGGCTTCCTTTATGGTCCTTTGGTTTCTGGACTTGCTTGTGTTTGGCAAGTCTCAAAAAAAAGCCGTCCGGGGTGCAGTTCTCGTCCGCGGAGACGGACCGTGACGGTGACCTATGTGTCTTAGACCAAACTGTTTGGGATGCTGACATTTTGGGAGTGCTCGTTGATCGATGCTGATCGTTATTTCCCCAGAAAAGGATCTGGGGTCCATGCTGGTGTAACTTAGGTTGGAGGCCATGGCTTTTAGGTTGGAGGCCATTGCTATTAGTGTTGGGTTGGAGGCCATTGCCATTAGGCGGCCATTGCTACTGTATCAGGTTGGAGGCCATTGCTATTAGGATGGAGGGCCGTCGCTGTTAGGTTTGGATTTCTTTCAAGAAGTCAGAAATAGCTTCTGTTCACCACTTCCTCGCCGCAGATCTCCACCTGCGATGCGGGGAAGAGGTTCGACTGCACGGGCAACACCGGGGTGGCACCGCCCGGGCGCTTGGAGGGCAACTGCGAGTTCCCCAATCCACCTGCCATTGCGCCACCTGGCTTGTGAAGGAGGAACGAGCGGGAGGGATCATGGTTTTTGCGTGTGCGTGAGGTATCATGAGCTGGAGGGTGTCAATGTAGAATGATTGTGGATGAGGAGGGAATGAGGATGCTTGAGGGATGAAATTCGCAGACTCCCTTTTTTTCCTAGCCAATTGTGAGGTATTATTGGGAGCCTTTCTGCTTTCTTGGCAAGAAGGGTTGCTTCGCAGATGGAGTGAATGTGGAGTGTCGCTTCTGCGGCTCGGGTGACTTTGCCGAAGCTCGGCCGATTTGGGAGAAGCAACTCTGCGGATTTGGGTGGACAATAGTATCCTTCAGCACCTGTTTGGGCCCAAACATGCCCCAAACCCTTCAACTGGTGGGAGGATATCCTTCAGGTCAAGCGATCGATAGAGAGATGTGGTGATCCGGTCTTCCGTACATTGGAGGGACACCGAGGAAACGTGCTCAGGACGTGACCTGCAACGGGACAGGGACAACGACGCTGTCCACAGTGTCGACCACCTCAAGCTCCACCTCGCGCAGAACGGATGGAGAGTGCCAGTTCCCAAACCCTCCTCTGATCCAGTGCCTTTGCTTGACAACATGGTTCAAGGAAAGTCCTTCTTTTTGTCACCATGTGCAGTCTTGCAAAACGGAAAGCCATGCACCCAGAGGATTGCTCTCCCTAAGGTACTACTGGGAGCCCGATTGTTTTCTGGGAATGAAGGGCTGCCTTGCAGATGGAAGCAACGTGGAGTGCCGCTTTTGTGGTTCGGGCGATTTCGCGGAAGCTTGGCAAGGCAACTCGCGGAAGCTTGGGTCGTTCGGGATTGGTCGACATCGATGTCGTTGTGGAGCACCGGGACTCCGTGACGTGACCGGCGCACCACTGGGACTCCGTGTTCCACTTGAGGATGTGACCTGCATCACCACCACCACGACGACGACCACCACCTCAGGCGCGAAAAGGTTGGAGAATGAAGGTCTGCAGACTTTGTAACAACGCAAAGTCTGCAGAGTGTTGGTTGGCTTCTCCGTTGGTACATTCTCTTTGGCCATGAGTGTAGTGGATAGAAGCCCACCGATCATTTCTCGTGGGACTGAAGTAGACTCAGACGGGAGATGGACGAAGCGACTCACCGGAGTGGCGCCTCAGGCGCATGTTCTGTCTTGACGGGAGTCCAGAAGAGCTGCTCAGAGGATGGTTGCACAGTTCTCACAGGTGGCATGCTTTCAAGGACAGCAGATGCTTTCAGGGGCTTTGCACATGTTTGCACATGCTTTCGTCCCCATAGTGGAAGGGAATTGCCAAGACAATTGTGAAAGGCAGAGATATCTATCACACTTGGATTCTTTGTTGGCGTCCATGTCCAGGACTTCCAGTAGTTTAGCTCACGGCTCGGTGAATTCGGCAGGACCTGCAGGCAATATTGCGAGGAACACTCCCTGATTTGTGTTGCCGCGTGCTGTCCTCAGTCGTTGGCCTAGCCTCAGCTTCAGCTCTAGGTCATGTCAATGTGGTGTTTTTACTCTCCAATCAAAGACCCAGACAGTCATTTGACTAGCCGGCAAGCCGCGACTAGCAGTGGGATGTTCATGATGTTCACCTACTGCGGGCTTGTCACATCCAGTTTATCTTTATACTGAAAGAACCGCTGCCTGGTACCAAAGCTCCAAATCGAAACACACGAAGAGTTGAGCATGCTGCAGAAACCCATGCAGCATGCTCATTGTGGAGCTCTTGAAAGAAGCATTTGGGTGATTGAAATAGGGAGAAGAAGGGGTTCCTTCAACCACAACCCAGCCAGGGCCAGCGGGTCTCCCTCTCAACAACATACACGTCCTCCAGGTGGGAGGACAGCAACGATGACTGCAACGTGCTGGCCTCTTTGACCTGCGATCAAACCTACCAGGGCACTCCGGATTTGATTTGCCAGTGTGCTCCACAGCCGCCACCGCCGGTGATTTGGATTCAGAACCAGGATGGGCTTTGCTTGATGGCAAAGGACAGGGCAGCGCAACACATGAACCGGCACAAACGTTGCACAAACGTTGCTGTGCACTGTGCCGTGCAGATGTGTGGTCAAGGCTCGAGCACTGACGTCAACTTTGGGAAACCGTTTCCCCCCCGTCTCCGCAAGATCAGGTCGTGGTAACCGTTGGTAACCCATTGGGTCGTGGGTTGCTTCTCTCGCTGACCCTTTGGGGAGCTCCCCCCTTTTTCCAGATGTCTAGAGCCGACACGGAGAGGGGGCCAGCGGCGGGGCAAGGCTGGAACAGGGTCCCCACCGCGGCAGGACTTCAACATCAGTGGCGCGGCGGTGAACTTGCACCCCTGCGTCCCGGAGTCGGTTCCATCCGAGTGGCTCGGGCTGCGTTTCTCCAGATTCTGGTGCTTGGATCAGTTGGTGCGTTGACTTCTTCGTCTACGGAAGACGACTAGTGACCATTGGTGATGTGGGTCGGGACCCGTGTGTTTTGATGAAACGGGTCAGGCGAGGCCTGCTTTGGGCGGATCCACCACCCCTCCACCGTGGTATGTCACGTGGCTCCAGCGGCGACCAGGCAGTGGATTCACCATCCCTCCACCGGACAACTGACCAATGCCAACGAGCTCACCCGCTGCTTGCACGCGGCGGAGCAAGACGTCCCAGGCGGGCCACGAAGCGCAGGGGCGTTCAGAAGCCCAAAAATGCTTGCTTGCTTTGGGTCAGGAGCCAGTCTTCGAGTTGTTCTTTTTGAAGAGACTTCTTGTCTCTTATATAACTTCTGTTCACACATCCATGATTTCATCACCCCTTGGACGCCAGGAGCCTTGCTGGTGATGTTGCCCTGCAGCGCCGGCTCGCCGGCGCAGAACTTTACGCTGGACGACGCGACGCGGCAGATCCGCATCTCGAGCGGCTCGGCTCGGCGAGAGGCGAATCGGCGAATCGCTGGTTCCACGCGCCGTGCGGCGCCGGAAGAGATGCCGAATTGCCGAGTTTGGGTCTGGTGACTCCCAGGGTGGGTAGACCTTTCAATGCTGAGGTTTGATATTCGGTTGGAGGCCATCGTTTTTAGGCTATTAGGTTGCAGGGCATTGCTATTAGGTTGGAGGCCATTGCTATGAGTGTCCAAGTTTGTAGCTAAAGATGGTGACAGAGTATTGGAGTTCCCTGCAGAACCAGATGGGTCGCTCCAGTCAGTTGTGGTCCAAGGGTTGCAGAAGCGTAGGCCGGCAAGTGGAATTCTGTTTCACCTGTAATCCGTGCCATGCCAACAGCTGTACGGAGTACAGATACGGGCTGGTGTCTGCAAGTGAAGGAGATCAATGAGGAGATGCAGCCAGACCAAATCTGTACGTCAGGTGTTGACACTACAATTGTTGGACACGCTGTCAAGCAGAAAGCAAAGGAGGAGGTAAGGTGAGTCCATGTCGGAGGATTTCTCAAGTGTGCATAACTGACAAGGAGCTCCAAGAGATGAAGGAAGAGAGATGCTGCAGGATGCAGCTACCATGGTGGTGCAGGAGGTCAAAGAGGAGAAGGTTGCCACGAACATCGATGCAGCAGAGCCAGCAATCCCTGCCAAGCGTCACCGCCTAGCTCGATGGGACACTCAAAGCAAGCAAGCAAGCAGCCCAGACTTTGATTGAGGCTTTTGTCAAGATGGACAGGGCTGATGAGCTGCACGTCTCGAAAATCAAGAGGGAGAAGCAAGGCGACGGCAAAGCTCCTCAGGCCAGTTCTGCAAGCAGACTTGCCGAGGGAGTCGAAGGTTTGATGTTTGCCACCTCAAGCTCCTAGGCTCCCACGACATCAGTGAAACCCGCGTGCTTCAAGAGGAACAACTTGGGGAAGCAGAGTGGGGTTCCAGGTATGAGCTGGAACAACCGTGACTGGGCCTGGCAGATCACCTACCCAGAGGGCAAGAGAACCGGCCAAACATCTCGGATGTTCACCCTCCGCAAGTCCTTGAAGGAGGGCCTCACCGAGACCGAAGCCGACGCGGCCGCGCTGGAGGCCGCCAAGGCCTTCCGTGCTGAGCTGGTGAAGCAGGGTGTTGTCAAGGAGCCGAAGCCTGTGGACCCCAACTTCACCAGTGAGGTGCCGGGGGTGAGTTGGAGAAAAAAGACCAAAGAGTGGCAAGTGCAGGTCACCCTTGAGAAGGCCAGCAAGGGACGGATTTATGGTGGCTGCTTCACCGACAAGGGCGCGGCCGAGGTCAAGGCCTTGGAGCTCGCGAAACTCCACGGTTTGGAGCGCAAAGTGACGGCCGTGCGCCTTACGGAGCTGCCTATCTTCGAGGTAAAGGTGCCCTACAGCGGGGTGAGCTGGAAGCAGAGGAGTCAGCAGTGGCGAGCCAGCTGCTTGGTCAATGGAGCCGAGCGGAATTTCTATGTCAAGCCAAAGGACCACAGCGAGGCTGAGCTCGAAGCGTCTCACAAGAAGGCCGTCGCCTGGAGGAAGAAGCAAGAGAAGGAGCGGGCGAAGGCGGCAAAGCCAACGAGTTCAAAGAAATAGTCGAGAAGAGAGTGGATTCGAGCTATTTGTCCCAGCGACTGGATTTCGCCATCTATCAAGGCTCTGGCGTACTTCCCATTGAAAAATTCTTGAGTCACATTTGGGATTCTCCACGTTGTTTTGTCCTGGTCTCTCATTTGCAACATTGAGTTATCATTTATATAAAAGGATGTTTTTGGGTGGCACAGCTGGTGCCGCTGTCGCAACGGGTCGGCTGCTTCAGTGCTTCTTCATTGTTGCTCCCCATGCGATGGGCGCCCATCTTCCATCACTTTAAGACCATCGGATTGCGGGATCCGCTGAAAACCACCAGTTTTTTTTGGAGCGCGAAAGGCTGAACACGCCCCCCACACCCTGAGGGACGGAAAAGCCACACCCCCACCGTTCTTCGTTCGGCTCCGAGGTGGGCTGTGTTTGGAGTGGCTGCCAGGTGGCGAGTGGATGACGGTGGTCACAGCGGTCTGTGGAGTGACCAATCAGACGCTGAAACGAATGGAAGGGATGGGCGGGATGGCCCAGAAGGATCAGAAGGGCCAGGGACTGTGAGGAACCAAGGGGTCTTCGAAAACGACTCAAACTGGGGGTAACAGCCCAGTCCCAACCAAGAGAGGTTGAGACCGGGACCCGAAAAAGTCATACGAAAAAGTGATACACTTGGGATAGGTGGATCGGCCCAAATGGGCTGTTCAACTCCTCTGCCGGAACAAGCTCACCACCCCTGGTGTCGCTTGGGCCCTTGATGAACTTTTACAATCGGCTGGACTCCTGCATCGTGTGTGGTGTCCTCTGCACTCAGCATTTGAGGATGTGGTATTGGGGTGAAGATCCTGTTGCCACGACCACCACCGTGGTGCCGGGCTGGACTGTCCCATCCTCGGCCGGGCGAGCCGGGCGAATGGGGACAAGGAGGTGATGCTGAGGCAACCTGAGCCAACCATGATTCCATCCTGGGCAGAAAGCTCCCAACTGTTTGACGCCAACCTGGCGATTTGAACTGCCTGAGCCACCGGTCTCGCCGGCAGATTGGATTGGATTGAGTCGCAGAAGGTGCACTCACCGCCGCCCTCCGCCGCCCAGGAGACTGCCTGGGGACCACCCAGCGCCAGCGTGACGGGGCTTCTTCAACATTCGGGAGGTCTTTGTGCACATCAAACCAACCAGTCGCTGCTCGACGGGTCTTTGCCAGGAGTCCAAACCCGGTAGGCTGAACACGCCAGTGGATGAAATCATGACCAAAAGCATCCAAACACCATAGCAGTGGCCTTGTGGTGGGTATTTCTTCAGGAGTCACGTATTTTGTATATATAGAGTCTCAATTCTTGCTGGGTTAAGAAGTGCTGGCCAGCCCATGTAGCCGCAATGTAGCCGCAGTGTCGGCAATCTGTAACATATCAACTAGATGTGGTAAAAAGGACCACAGGAAAGTTATGGTAAATGGTAGACGGGGATAGACGGGGTATGGTACCTTTGGACCAGGCCGGAAGCTGTGCAGGTATGCTTTGAAACAGATCATTCAACAAAACCACGACGGCATTCAATTTGGGGAAACATTTGCTTTCAACAAGAGGCCTGAGACCACAATTGGAAACACACCGAGGTTGACAATGGCAGTGTGTGAACCTGGAAGCACCTTGGGTGATGCTAACCGGATGCCGCACGGATTCATGTACTGTTTTGCAGATCACCTTGATCTCTGTGCATTCTGGGGAACGAAACCCTCCAAGTTGGAATTTGATGCGTGACATGTGACATGGCTTTTCCATCCTGCAGGTGACATCCAACATCCCAACATTCAGTCTAGTTAGCAACAAACGCAGTGAACCACTGCTTTCTCTTGTTTTCTCAGAATATTTGTGAGATCTAAGAATCCATGCTTCCATGCTTCCTGGAAAACACCCGGTGTCAACCGCTTTAGACCGGCCCCGGCGGTTGTCCACGGCAAAAACACCACCGAGGCTCCCAGTGGTTCACGTACAACGAAAGCTTGCGACAGATCTCCGCTGGTGGCCTTTGCTTGGCCAGCAGCACCTCGGTGCGAAAGGAGCTTCTTCAGTGATTGCTACGCAGAGAATCACTGGAGCCACAGAACTTGCAGGGTGCAATCTCCTAGAAGGGCGTTCTTGTGCAAACATGTGCAAATGAGACCGGATACCAAATGAGACCCGTGAGTGAGTCGAGGCATTTCCAGCAGCGGAGGCATTGCCCTAGGGAGTTGCAATGAATCCTTGGTGACGCAATTTGTGCTGACCTCAGCACCCTCATCAGTGGCACTGCCGCGATGGCAGATATGTCAGAGGATCAGCCAGTTGGACGACTTCCGAAGCTGGCCATGATGTGCAAACTGCACCCGTTTCCAAGCCATTGCCCAGGCATTCAACCTTCAGTCTGGGATGATTTGGAACAGGTGCGGACCGTGCAGACGACTTCTTTTCTTTCAATTCAACTTTTCTTCTCCACGTGGACCAGCATGGACCAGTGAGATTGATCTCTCACGTTGGCGATCACTCGATACGTCGGGACGATGCTTCTTCAACGGCTGAGATGTGTTCGACGCCGGATGGCAGAAGTTTTACGCTGTGCTCACAAGTGTGTCTTTTGTCGAAGAGGGGATCAGGGGTCATGCCCTGGCAGCAGAGAAACAAAACAAGCAAACCAACTGTTTCACGCACATTTCAGGAAATCGACTGTACCTGTCAGGGATGGTTGCCTGTTATTTTTGTAAGGATTTGATTCGGTGTTGGAAGTGGAAAGGACACCAGACCTGCCAATGCTGAAACAGCGTGCTCATGGTCCATCCAGAGCAGCTTGAGCAGCTTTTTTTGGGGCAAACCAACCACAAGATTCTCCTGCATTTTCCTTCAGTGCTTGGAGTTAGTGGGTTGATGGTGGATCTCTGCAGACGCAGGCAGATGCAATGCCTGGAGGCTGCTGTTCCTCTGGTTGAAGGCGCGTCCGCTGGTCACGCGCTGGCGTTGTCTCGGATGGGTTTTCGCCCCTGCACAGGTTCTCTGGTGCACCTGCGGGATTGCAACAGGAGCCAAGAAGGACAACGCTGGCGCCCAGGTTGCAATTTTGACTGAAGCAGATTGATTGATGTGTCCTTCTGTGAACCCTTGCCAACCCTCTGGCTGTTGAGGATGACAAAATTTATCAAAATTTATCAAAATTTCTTGCGACAGTTGTTGTTTGCTTTTAGAGCTGAACCCATTCCGCAGGCTTTTCAATTCGGCTGCCACAACCACGCAAGCTCCAGTGTCTGTGGGACTGCACATCAAGCTTCTCGGTCTCTGAGAAGTCGTGTGGATGCCGGGTGAGGATGCTCAATGTAACTGGGTAGGTAGGTGGTTAAGATGCGTTGAGTGAGTCGGGTTGTGGGTTGCAACCAAATTGAATCATTTCAATCCATTTCAAACCCTTTGGTCTCTACTACCCATTGCTCCTGTTCGCGCGGGTGGTTGCCCTTCTTTGCGCTGGTGCAGGGTATCGCTGTTTTCCACCGAAACCCCGATGCAAAGCTTTGCTCCGGATTCGACGCGAACCGGGGCAGCAGCGAGGCTGGACTCCGGCTTGTGCCTGGCCAGCAAAGAGAATTCATCCAGGCAGAAAATGGGGCGCGGCTTGGTGGATGCAGGATGATGCTTTGGTGGATGCAGGGTCGCTTGGGCGATGATTTCTTTTTCTGGGAGTCAGTTGCTTTGGTTGGGCTTGCACAAGCCAAGTCACATGAAATCCAAGCATTGGTGGTTGGTCGTTTCAATCACGTTCTTTGGATCAACTTCTGCTCCTGTTCTCTCCCACCCAAAAACGCCGGACACGGTCAGGTCGCTGCTCCGTTCCGGCGCCAGGAGTTGCTTGGAGCTTCGCGGCTGTCAAGAAGCTGATCAAGCCCAGGCGGATGCGACTTCTGCCAGAGCCGAGCAGAGTAGTTGAGGAGTTCTGAGCTGAGCATTGGTGGTTGTGGGTGTAGGATGGTGGTTCGAGTGTGCTATGAATGATGGACAGAATGGGGGCAGGAGGTGTTAATATGGTTGCTGCGCAAAGCGCGATGCTCTTGGCTCCTGCTCCAGTGAAAGCTTTGTTTTGGTGCCGCACAACCCGCAGAAATGGTTCTACGATGAGACGTCCAACCAGCTGAAGCGCGGCTGCCCGGAGTGTTGCGCTACCGGAGCGCTTCATGGTTGGGTAGTGAGATGTGAGGGAGTGGACCCTGGAGTCGTTTTGGAGAATTCTTGGCAAACTCTGCGTTTTACAATGCAATCTCCAAGATGGACATGCAATCTCATTCTGGTTTTGCTTCTTTTTCGGTTCCCCTGCTGCAATGCAATCATAGAAACCCTATGGCCTTGACCCCAAATCTGTTCAAACCTGCATTACCGTTGACCAAAGCGAATGTCTATCTCTTGGATTCTCTTGGTGTTGGATGGCCCCCTATGGTTGAGCCTCTGGGCCGGGGACACCTGTGATTCAGCCGACCCGAAACCGACCTGACGTCGCCTTCGACCTGACCCGACCTTCTACCCACCGTCGACCCCACCGTCGACCTGACCACGCCAGGAACGGCTGGGATCGGTGCTTGGCCGCGCCCCACGCGGGTGGTATTCTGCAGGCGCCTTTGGTTGGACAACACGCGGGTGCGAATCTGGAGAGACGGTCAATGTCCAGTGGTAACACATGGTAACACAACATTTAGCTTTGTTTAGTTTAGGGTGTATTTATGTGTATGTACTATGTTGATCATATTTTGTTTTTGGATTTGCTTAGCTTTATTCAGGGGACAATTACTAGTCATAGGTCGACATTCTTGGAAGCTTGAACTTGCGAACTACCTTTTGATGGCCGCCGGATGCGATGTCAAAGAACCAGGTCTGCAATGTCCGACTTTCTTGTCAAAGGATAGAGCATTCTACCACTTCAGGTAAGCCAGGTAAGCCGTATCCGGTTGGAACAAAGACCCGCACGATTAGGCCTTTAAACATACACACAAGTAGAAAACATACACATCTCATTTCTACACTCTATCGATCCAGTAGGTGGTGTGTGTGTGTGTGGGATGTTTTTTTGGATGGCTTCTTGGTCACTCGTTTGGTCGTGCCGAAGTCCTTCGGATCGCGAAGATCGCCGTTGCTCCGAAGGCGAAGATCGCCTTTGCTCCCGTCCGAGGGGGCATCGGTCGCGCTTGTCGCGGCAGCAGCTGGAGTTCGGGGACCTACACGGGACCTACACGGGACCTACACGGGACCTACACGGGACCTACACGGGACCTGGAGACTGGTGTAGGGGGGATGTGAAGACTGGTGTCGCCTTTTTTTTTTTGCGTAACGGCTTTTTGGTGGTTTTCCTTATATGTACTTGTTCTTCGTTGGTTGAATATTGTTTCACATGTGACCTTTTTTTGTGGTCTTTGGTATGCCTTGGTCTTGCTAGTTGATCTAGTTGATTCTCTACCTTGGTTGATCGCTGTCCTCAAAATCAGCGCCTGGACTTCCGACGGAGTCATTTCTCCAGCTCTTCCCACTTCGTGTCACCCGAAGCCATCCGCACTCTGCTCCGCTGACCTCGCCGAGGAGACAATGACCGCTCCAACTACATCGCTTTTTGGCCCGTGGACTTGCTTGAAGTCTGTAAAGAGCGCTGCCGGGAAAGGCGTCACCCGGTCGATCCGTTGGCTGTTTTCTCCTTGACTGCGATGGTGGCTTCCGCCGGTCGCGGACGGCCAGGGCCTCCTGCACCGGCATCGAATTCAATGCTTGGCTACGGCGCTGCGAGGTTTGGATCAAGCCGGTCCGGGTCCTGGTCCTTGGCTCGTTTGGCTCGTTTAGACGCGTTTGAACCGTTTGGATGAAGCCTGCAGGTGCGGGTAGGACGGCCGGGTAGGACGGCCGTGTAGGATGGGTGGCATGCTGGGAGAGTGAGTTCCATTGTTAATTGCGAAAGGTTGCAGATGGATGCTTCATCATGAATCACCAGGTTGGTTCTGGATCTAAGAACCACAACCCTTCTGAAAAATCGGGTTTGGACACATGTATTAGCTATACAAAGTGACCCCACAAGGCTTTGGGTCCAGAGTCCAGCTCTCGTGCTGAGACTCCTGCACTAGAAGGCTCCGAACTTCTGTGAACAGGTCCTTTTGGTCAGACTTGAGGAGGTGCTTGTGAGAGACTAGGTTCCCCCTCGATTGACTTGAGGTGACAGCGACAAATGAGGGTGGAACACGATTATTCGATTTGTATGATATGTGAGCTAATGTGAGCTACTGAGCTACTGTATTTGAATTAGAATCTAATAGCGTCCTTGCTCCTAGTAGTAATGCCAGGAGCCACAAAAAAGTAGCTTCTTGCTCCGGTCGTAGCGAAGCTGTTGCACCCAGGTCACCACGTCAGTCAAAGCTTCGAACTTCACCTGCTACAACGCCTCTCTGGTGCGGCTTTTTTTTCCCCGCTGTGGCAGACGTGCCATTGTGCCACCGAACCACGTCTTTCAGATTTTTCCGTTTGTTTTTCACCAATTCCCATGTAAAAAATGAACCAATCCAATGTTTTTCTCAAATGTCGGGTGCCTCGAGCGCGACTTGCGCTATGTCTGGCAGGAAGATCCAACCTTGGCGATCTTTGAAGATGTGGATGGCGGTGCTGACCGCGTGTGTCGAGGGAAGCATTCAGGCCCCGTCATGAGAGGCATTTCTTGGTGGAGAGTGTGTGTGTGTGTCGTTGGCACCACCCAGGCGACAACTCTGCCTCGTACTACACAGCGAGCCTGGCTGAATCCAAGGAGGAATCGCCTGATACCATCCTGCTGCCATGTTGATTCCCAGTGCCCTTGACAGCGGGTCTCGCTCTGCCTGAGCGGTGGACAGATAGTCTAGAACTTGTGAAGACCCCCCATCTCAAACCACTTTAATCTCGTTTCTTCTCCTGAGATCATAGGCTTGATTATGATTGGTGAAGATTGTACCAAGTTGTATCCTGTTCCTGCCTGTGATGTACAAGCAACCTGCCGTGATGTACATCCGAATCTGAAAATGTTCAAAGAGTCGAGTCCGGAGATGTGAATGCAACATGATTTTGACATGTTTCTCCCATCTACTCCCACGTCTGTCTGCCCTTTGTTCTACTCGCCTGAACATGTTTTTACCATTTGTTGCACCCACCCACCTTTCAGATGTGACTTTGGACTCACCTATAATTATATTTGGGAATGTACTCAGCGACAATCGATGCTTTTGCAGGACTGTCAGCGACAATGCTCCATGGCCACAGGCCGCTGCACAGGCCTGATGAACATCTTCGGTTGAGGAAGGAGAACTCTTCAACCTCATTTCCACTTCAACCAGCAACATCTACAGCAGCAGCTTCTCTGAATCTCCAGCTGGTCGTTGTTGTAACAACCTTGTTGGTGCTGGTTGGTGCTCAACCATTTGCTCTACTGCTTGTTCTTGTAGGACAGAAGCAAAGGCACAGACAGTTGGTGATAGCGGTGACCCCGCCGGCCGTCCTCATAGAGGTTTTTTGGAGTGTTGGAGCGTTGGACAGGTCCAGCCGTGGCACTGCACTTTCGTCCTTTCAAGGGATTTCTTTCTTTTTTGAAGCAAACAGCACCCGTTTGAGCTCCAGTTTGGGCACCAGTTTCGGGGGATTTCTTTTTTTGGGATTTCTGTCCTTTCTTTCTTTTTTGAGCACGGTCAGGATTTGAGTACCACCAGTTTGGGCGCTGTGAGCTTTGGTCTGCCCCAGCTCGGTGCTCAGCGGTATCGCGGAAGGGCATGGGTGGCGCCGTCTTGGCTGAACACCCCGAACGCCAAGTTGGTAGACCTCCGAACGCATTGGCAAGGAGAAAAAGGATGCGTAAACGACCCAACTGGTGTACTTATTCTGGATTTCTTTCAAGTGGTTTGCCTTTGCGAAGTCTCCGAGAATTGCTGCGAGGTCGGCAGTAGCCGCGAGGCAAGTGGATACTATTGCCGAGCACTAGCGACGGTAGCTGCCTCAGTCCAATGGAACCAACAGAACGCGACAGCTTGATATGTAAAGACATTTATCAACACTGAGTAGTTTTTTAAAACCTGAATAGAGAGCGAGTTCTACCGCCATTTGACAACTGGATAGAACATTAATGTCATGTCCCTTCCAAAAAGGATTCGGAACTGTTCCTATTTAGTTTGGCACCCTGCCTTAGTCAGCCATGTCATTTTCTGAGTGCTTTATAGTGGCCTTGATGTCTTGGTGGCCTTGTCTTGCGGTCAGGTCATCACCCAAGACTGCAACGTCAGTGATGTGCGACAGTGACACGCTTGGTGGGTATTGAACCACATCTTATGATATCTTATGGATTTTTAAAAACTGCCTCGTTTTGAGTCATTTATCAATCTTAAAACGCCTTTTCACCAACATCAGTGTGTTGTTGGGCTGAGTCTTTTTCATTGGTGATTAGTGCTTGGCCATGCTTCATATGGGAGGCACATTGGTCAATTCTTGAGGTCCTGGCGATTGGATTCTGCTAGGAAGATCTTGTCAGTGCAGGAGCGGGTGGCCAATTCAACATGACATGAAGACATACACCATTTTGTGCATTTGCTGAACGTTTGTGTGTTCAAATGGACAAACGCACGTAATTACAAGTCCTTCGAGCAGTGGTGTTCAAGCCCAATCTCAAAGGGTCAGCTTATATAGTAAGCTTCTATCAGAGGCAGACCTCATCCACCTGAAAACCTCAACAGCATCAAAGTAGCTGGGATGATGATGGGATCGGATCCATGGATCTTTGACGGATTGGTATCCAAATGGCGGCCGCATCAGCACCGGGCTTTTTCGACCTTCTCAGGGCTGCTTTTTGGAGCGAAAGTTCCGGGTTTGCTTTGATCTCTTTTCGCTTTTTTCAGCAGCTAAGCAGTTCAGATCCAGCTTATGGGGCTGCTCTGTCAGGATGGGGCCTGCTTAGATGCCGTTGGTGGGACCATTGAAGGCGATCGTGTGCACGTGGCTCAGCTCGTCGGCCGCTGTGTTGCTCGGCGGTCTCGGTGGCGATTTTAGGCAGCAAGAGACGAACTGAGGCGCTTGCTCACCTGCAATGCTGAGAGTCAAACCCAGCCGCTTGGCAGAGATGGAGATGAAATGATGAGACTGCGGGCATCTGCGGGCATCTGTGTCTGTATAATGCCCTGCTTTTCCTGAGTGCTGGCATCGTGTTTTTGTTTGCTTGCTTGCTTGCTTGCTTGCTTGCTTGCCGATCGACACGTCTCTCCGGAGCAAAGACTTCGTCTTTCAGGTTGTGGTCATCGATCTCAATGGGAGTTCTGCAAGAAGAGGTTCATCCGAAGGTGGTGCTGCCCTTGGTTGGGAAGAGAAGATGCTCTGCTGTGATTCCCTTGACCCAAAAGCACCACAGTTCCCGATGGGCGGGGTCTTGACCATTGCCAATACGCATTTAGTGCAAGCAGCACTGCCAAATCACCGGCTTTGCTCGGCTAGTGTGGCATGCACCTTCAGTTAAGCTCAATCATCCATGCTGTTTTTTCTTTTCTCGCTTAAACCGAGCTTGTTGGAGTGTCCTTCGCGAAGGGATGATGTCCGGGCAAGGTCACTGGCTGAAGAGGCCGTGACAGGGGTAGCCGCCGAGCGCTTGGCGGCTGTGGCGGAGATATGGCATTTTCCAAGGATGAGTTGGACACATTTTTGGAGACCATGTTATCATATTAAGGACATCGCTACTAGGAGCAATTAAGCTACTAGGGGCTCCTGGCCTTACTACCAGGAACAAGGAAGCTACTAGGGGCTCCTGGCATCGCTACTAGGAACAAGGACGCTACGAACGGAGCAAATCTTTTATCCAAGGATGGGATGAGTTGATGGGATGGTGTGGCTCCACAAAGGTCTACATCGAACTTTCTTAATACTCCAAGAAGGTCAGGCTGTTTAAGCAATGTGAAGGACTGTGAAGGACTGGCGGATCCTTGGAATGCCAGCAGCCAGACGTTGCCAAAGCATGCAACAACTGTAGGTCCACTAGGTGAGTTTTTCCCCTCTTCTGTGAAGTTTTCAGGGAAGAGAACCGTCTGTGAGGTTTTCAGGGCATCGAATGCCGCCGTGGGGGAAGCGATGCGTGTGTGGAGGAAAGGTTGACCCGGCTGGCTACAAAAGGAACCAGCTTTGAGGGTATGTGACCAAGTAGCCAACGAGCTACCTGTACTTCTCCATTCAAGAGCCTGAGTTTGATAGCTTCTTGATGGTTGTTTTCGCGCTCAAGAAAAGCGCTACAGACCCTAGGGGCCTGGGAGCTTGTGGGGTGAAAATGCCACCACAGGTTCACATGCGCCAGGCGAGAAAAAGAACTGACAAGACCGGCTACTGGTAGGGTGGCAGGGTTGAAGATGGCTATCGAACCCATGGTGAAGCCACAGAGGATGCACCTAGTGTGGCCGTCGATATACTTGATGTCCAGCAGGATGTCCAGCGATGTCTTCAGGAAGAACTCGCTTTCCTTGAGAGTCATTCCCAGCTCCGCAGGGTCTGGCTACTTGACAGGAAGGTTACAGTAGATCCAGAGTTTGCATGAGTCACAGGTCAAAGTATGTCACAAACATCCTAAAACAATAATGAATAGGAGCATGTTTTAATCATCCCAATGAACGATCCCCCATCATCATTTGGGCCTTTTTCCGTCACACTCCGACTTCTGAACGCATTTGTGTCAACGAAGCATGGTTGGGACGGGAAGGATGGGAATGGGAGCGATGGACATTTGAAGCGCTTTGCTTCACGTTTTTCAGCGGCTCCGCATGGAGCCGGGCCTGGAGGCCCAAGGCAGCGGCAGGCAGCGCGAGATGGATGGGACCGAAGGACAAAGAGGTGTGTGTTTTGCTTTTTTCGGTCTTGGAGCCCTTGGGTGATTGTTGGCAGCCGACCGGTTTTGCATGGCGTGATCCAATTTGTTTTGACAGTGATTGGACGTGTGACGACGTCTGTGACTTGAGGTTGATTCGGTTTTGTATACTTTGCACATTCAAAAGGATGCGGCTCTCAGTCTTCAGCTTCCCCAGTCTGTTTATCAACCAGGTCGAATCGGGACACGATCGAGGCCTCCCTCTCCAGACCGAGGTGAGAAGGAACGCCCGTCTGGGTTCGACCCGAAAGGGGGCGGATCGAGGCCTCGGTTCATTGGATGGGGCGCATGTTGATGGAAATTGGTGGTTGTTTGTATGTTGTTAGATGCTAACATTCTCAGTTACGGAAGACGGACAGATCAAGCATGCAACATACGTATACGGTATACGTCAACTGCCAATGCCTTTCGTGGTCACTTCGGTGGGTGATTGTGAGTGAGGGCTTTGGAGCTGAGAAGCAACAGATTCTGATTGATGAGCGAGTGTGAGCAGAGAGGGGCCAGGGTGGTTTTCACCTTCTGGTCGAGAAAGTTGCACCTCAAAATGCAGGCCAAGCCAGAGAAACCGGGCTTTTGAACAGTTTTACTGGGCCAATTTGGTGCAGGCCTTAGAGACCTTTCGCTTGCGTCAGAGACATGCGCAGCTTTCAGTCAGATGATGACAATAATGTATTGTGACTTATGAGCAGTGGGAACACTGGCTGGTGCAGAAGCTTCCACCTTGGCCAGCTAAATGCAGCCGAATGAAATCTTGGCACCGAGGTTGAGACTGGCCTAGTGAAGGACACAGTGCCATGTCAAACTGTGCCTGTGCCTTTCTTCCTGTCGCACTGTACCAGTATGATGAGCTTTTCGTTTGTGTGGTATGGCTTGGCCACATTGCAAGTTGCAGCTCAGCACTTACTGTATGCGCCGGAGATATTCAAGTCGTGGGATGAATGTTGCTCGAAGGACTGCGAGTGGGAGGTATTCTTAGAGTGCCCACGCCCCAGATTTCAGTGCCCAAAGCCGATTGGCTTCGCTCAAGCTTCGAATCGGCACTTTATGCTCGTTTCATCCGTTTTTAAGCTCTTGCCAAAGAAAGATGGCTCATCCCCATAGGTCCATCGGTGATTCCATGGTTCTTGGCCTCATACCTCCGGTTCTTGGCCTCTGCCAGCGGAGGCCTCTCCCAGCCGCTGCCGCTGACCCTGTGGATCACCCCCACCGATCGCTGGGCCGAGCACGTCCGCGGTGCCTGGGATGAGAAGTGAGAAGTGGCCTGCCCCAGCCGGTGGCGGTCACGGGTGCCTGGGAGGTAAGCGGTGGATAGGCTGCAGCGGCTACATTTTCTTGATGTTTCGGGGATTCTCAGGGGATTGATTTCGGGCATGAACAAATGGTTCGTCAAGACCTGCCCACCCCAAGGCTTCATGAGGCAGTACAAGGCTGAAGCCCAAGCTGCAGTGGACCAGAGGTCTGCGAACTTGGGAAGGGATCACTCCGCGAAAAAAGCAGCGCAAGAGAGAGAGAGAGAGAGAGAGAAAAACTCCTTCCGTGCGGGCTTTGAAGCGCTAAGAGCTTTGAGCAAGACCCACAAAGACCAATAGGGATGGGATGGATGGTTGGAGGTTCCCTTGTTTTTTACGACATGAACCGTGAAGCCAGTGGCCTACGGGTTGTTTCCCAGTGATGCAGCTGCCAGGATTTCGGTGCAACCACTGCCTTGGATGCCAGCTGACATGGGTTGGCGGGCGTCTTGGCAGAAGGGTAGTTGGGCACGGCTGGAGGCGCAAGCAGCTGGGTTCCTGACTGAATCACCAAGCTCGGAGGTCGCCAGGTTCATGTGGGCGGACATGGGGTCAGGGTGAAGGGTCCTGAAATCTAATCTACAGGTAATTGGCTTGAGGGGAACCATGACATTCATCCAACACGCGGGTTGCTCTTAGACTGCCACTGACCATGACCACCACAGACCTGCCCCGCCCCGGCGGCAGTCCAGCCAGGTGGACATTCCAAAGGCGGTGCTGCGGAAGGATGCAAAGTTCAAGTTGTTGCATGAGATGCTGATCGAGTACACCTCCAAGGCAAGCGGAAATGCCACCGTTAGCGGGTTGGGTGGGATCTGAAGGCCAAGTGGACAGGAGTATTTGTGGTGGGGGCTTCTGGATGAAACGAGCTTGAGAACCAGAAGGTAAGCAGTAGGTTTCACTAGACTAGATCCTTGCACAGCTCCAACATGCCATGCTATGAGTTACGTCAAGTTGTGGACTGTTGGGGGATGGATCATAGGCTTCACAGACGGGCATTTGGTAACGCCACGCCCACGTGAGGGCCGTGTTTGATCCGAAGCCGTCCGTGCCAGGGCACCATCAATCGGATGGAAGAGGCCAGAAGGTGTTTTCGGCTTAGTCAGCACTGGCTCGGCACGTTTTGGGTGCTTCTCTTTGGAGCTGATGGTTCTGAAGAGCGACCAACAGGTAGACAAAGAATGTAGACAGTTATCATCAGTTATTTGATAATTTTTGACATAGGTTGCTCTTCAATCAGTATTTTTGTTACAGTAAACTTCTTAATATACATGTTACATGTTTGATCACTTAGGTCCCCTTGTACTTGTGAGCCACAGCCATCTCTTGCTCATGCGTGGTTCGCCATACAGAACACTTGGCTTTGTGAGATCGTATCATTCGCCGCCCTTGGCTTTACGACCACCTCAATAAACCGTCTTTGAGGGGTGTTCTTCCTCCGAGTGCTCTGTGACAAACGCCGCTTTCTGCACAAGCCGAAGCTTCGCCCGAAGTGGTGTAAAGGTGTCCGAAGCAGTCGTTGAGAAGAATTCAGAGAACGACCACGTTCACTCCCTATCTCGACCCTGCGTTCGCTCCCTTGGCTCGCCGTTCAGCTCTCTCTTTATGGGGGGACCCGGGTTCTCACCGTGCTCAACGCTCGGGAGGTGTCGATGCTGCCCGTGGCAGTACTGGACATCCAAGCAGGGCACCGCTGCTTGGATTTATGTGCTGCGCCGGGCAGCAAGACCGCGCAGATGCTGGCCAGCTTGGCACACGTCACCTGGCGCAGAGGAGGGTCTTTGGTTTGTCATGGTTTGGTCATAGCTTAGATAGGCTACGATACCACAGTGCTTGTGGCTACTTTGATAAGGAAGTTATATGAGGAAGTTGTATAAAGGCTTGGAAGTTCCCCCTTACACTCTTTTATCTCCCTCATGACTCATGATTGTTGTAGTCTCGGGAATCTGTGCACATGACTCCCGTCCAATGGAGCCACTTTTGTTTGGGATGCACTCGTTGCCGAGGCCAATTACAAGAAGTGGGGGAGGTGCGAAGACGTCGCTCGAGCGTGTCGCAGCACCGAACGTTTGACCCATGTAGAGAGAGGGACCCCGCTCACGAAAGTCTCTGGAGCTCACCTAGCCTTGCTTGTCCTAGAAGAATCGGCACATGTCTGGATCCAACTGACCTCACGTGACACCTTGAGTGCATGTCATCAAGCACCTGGGGCCTTGCTTTAAAGCGCACCTGTCCAGCTCACTCGGCTTCCCAGCACTGAAGGGGGGTCGATCTGAAAGGCTTCCGGACTCGGGCAGTGCCACAGGGGCTTGGAGAAGATCGAAGTGAAAGGCAGTGAGCAGTTTTTGCGAGGTCGCAGCTCGATGAACCGTTGGGCAGGATGGGCGGGTGGATCATTTCATATAATTTCAATTGATGAGAGGTGTGCAGAGGGTACAGGGTTGCCTTGACTCCCCAACAAAATACTGAGAAGGGACGAGCAGACCTGGTGTTGGTGATGCCCTTGGTTACTTCTCCTGCGTTCGACGCATTCGGCGGCCAGCTACAAGACAACAGGGGAAGATGCACCGTGACAATAATTTCAACCCATGCCAAGACAAGGAACATATGGAGAGACGAGATGATTGATTTTGATCCTTCAGAATATATAATGACCACCCAGGTGGAAAGTGCCATATCCATCAAGACAGGAGTGCTGCCAGTCTTTCTATTAGAACGAATGGATCAGTGGCCTGGTGACCACTATAGCTGGCAGGCGTTCACCAACCAGTGCTGGGGTTATACGCCCCAGCGCTTGCTGGGGCGTTCACCGATCGACGAAGGACTCATCGACCAACGGAGAACCGTCACGTCCCGGTGGCGCGGGTCGGACCGTCGTCCGGGTGCGGCGGGTCGGGACGAAGTCACGCGACGAAGGCATTGACTATTCGGGCGACGAAGGCTGTGTGGTGGCCAACGAGATCTCTGCGGAGCGAGCTGGGATGCTCGTCCATCAGATTGCCAGGCGACGTCAAGACTTCTCTGCATCCCCTTTTTTCGATGCATACACCCCAAATGACCGGCCAAACACGAAACTGAAAGGAAGAAACGCCATCCGCCTCGCAAGGCATCAGTCTTTGTATCCCTTGGTGGTCTTCACTTCCCACGATGCTCGCTACTTTCCCAGCCTCCGACGCGAAGACGGTCGCGAAGTGCTCTTCGACCGCATCCTGTGTGATGTGATGTGCTCCAGTGTCTCCTGGCTGCACCGGACGGCGCGGTCGGGCGAAACACACAGACCTGTGCCAAGCACCTTCAACATCGACTGTACACCATAGCATGGTGAGCTCCTGAATGCTCCTTCTATCAGTATACAGTATACATGTTTACTTCCGAATCCGTGCGACGATCAGCGCTGGCAGCTGCGGAGCGGCTGCTCCGGCTGTTCCGGGCATCATGTGTTCCATTGTTTGGGACTCGGGTTTCACCCCCCACCGGTCCTCGTCCGAGGATGGGACGCTGCGGAAGTCTCCGCACCTCTGGCGCGAGTGGTCCAGCCGGCTGAGCCTGGAGCTGCACGCGGAGCAGCTGGCGGTGGCGCTGCGCTCGGTGCGGCTGCTCCGGGGGGGCGGCCGGATGGTGTATAGCATCTGGACTGAGGGGTCTGACCAGTTTCTGGATTTTTTCAATGAGAGATGGAGAGAGCCGAAATTGGGTGAAATAAGCTAGTTTTGGGGTCGCTCTCTTTTTGTTCTGACAACAACTTTACAATACATCATATAGAGCTTGAACTGAACACCGGCCACCCAAAGAGGCTGGCTTTCGAGAAAGCCATGCTCGAACTGGGCCGAGACATGAAGTTGTTCCATGTTGTTCCAGTATGCGTGCGAAAGCTTCATTCAGCTGGCACATGGGAGCCCAGTGTTGAGCACCTGAACGCCAAGCCAGACTTCCGTCCCGGATAGGTTTCGGGCACACGTGAATGTTCAGGTGTAGGTTCATGCCAGCACAATCAACCTTCAAACAAAAGAAGCAAAAGCTTGATCTCGCGAGAGTCGGTTCGATTCCACCACTGCTTCAACCAAGGCACCTGCAGCCTATCTCCCGTGGAAAACGAGGCGGTGGTGGCGGAGATCTTGCGTGCGGCTCCATGCTTGGAACCTTGTCTGCAAATCCGGCTCACCTGCGAATGATTTTGGAATATTTTGGGAACCGACAACGTGTTTGTCTTGAACACTAGTAAAGTCTTGGGGGTCTTGGATGGTTGCCAACGACAAGCAAGCATTCCAGACACTTTGTGTTTGTTGAACTTGGACTTAGAATGCCTTACAACAATAAGAACACTTCAACTTACGATATCACATCTATTATATTCATTGAGTGTAACCTTGAATGAATTGCTTTCTGAACACGTTGGTTTCAGCGGGGTGCAAGTTCTGCATCATCGAACCCAACGAGTCCGAGGCTTTGCTGGATGTGCGAGAGGAGCTCACCCTGCGGACTTCTCCGGGCTTGGAGACCTGGAAGGCATGCCAAGGGCTGCAGTTGTTTGAAAAGCGAATGTAGAGCGGTGGCCATGGCGCCATGGCCATCCCTAGGTTTGGACATGTCATGGATTTAGGAACTCATCGATTAGGCTGAAATTGAATGGCCGGTCACACACGTCGAATCACGTCGATCCGGAGTTTTCGGCGCTTATAAAAACACTGGGGACGTCTCAGTCTCAACAAGAGTCGTAAGGAGTTAGCAGGGCATCTGACTGTGTATCTGGCTTTGGGGCATTTGTTGGGGCATTTGTTGGGGCATTTGTTGATCTGGGTCCAGATGGTCAAGTTTCAGGGTTGGCTATCCACAAGCTCTTGGGGCCCCGACCGGGCAGTCCCTTAAAAGCTTTGCCTGGTGCATGCGATCGCCTGTGCATGTGTGGTTTCACCTGGTTTCCAGGTGGCTCACCAGGGTCAGCTCTATGAAAGCCATGCGGCCGCCGTGGCGGCGGGTGTCAAGCTCCAGAGAGGACGGGGGAAGCTTTCAGCTCTTGGACATAGCTCTCCAAACACACCCGGCTGAAATGGTGGTAAAGCATGGTATCGCAAGAGGTGACGAGGGAAATGATGGGACATGCTCTGAAGCTGCTTAGACGCAAGAGCTTGGGCCCAAGCATTTGTCCAAATATCCCCCTCTGTTCAGGCAATAGACTTACTGTATGTGGGGGATCCCTCCGCAGCGGAGGAGTCTTTCCGCCCGCTGAAAGCGGGCTCGGGCTGAAGAAGTGCCTTCGTATTCTGCCACACCACAATGATACTGGAGGCCCGATGGACAGAAAACTGGGAAACACAGGTGATAGCATCCGATGGTCTCGGTAGATGCAGATGGTCTCCTCAGCCGTCTGGTCCAGGTTGGGTAACAACCACCTGCTTTTTTGCGCACGAAAGCATGATGTTTGAGGAACGAGGAAAAAAACCACTGTTGCATGGCCCGATTCGCTCCTTCGCCCGGCTCGCCAGGCTTCTTCATCGCAGTACCTTGCCAGAAAAAAGCGAGCTCTTTCGCTTTGCTTCATTTCCCCCGGTCGGGTCGGGTCGCCGCTGAAGACGCGAGCGACGGATCGAGGTCTTTGAAAAGGTGGCCGCGTACGTGGCCAAGGGGGCGGAGGTGGCCGACGCGGAGACGATCCGTGGATGCTCGTTCTGCATGGAACATTTTGCAAGGGTTGGCATTGGCATGAAGCAAGGCATCAGTTCGTTGCGTCATTGGACGATATGTTTTCATGGTCCTTCTACGTCCTTATCGTCTTCTGTGTGCTTGAGGGTGGACTCGGTTCAGGATACCCGACTGTGCTAGTCGATGTGTTGGTTCTCACCAAGGCTATGACAGCGACCGCGATGAGGATGGTGAAGAGGAAGAACGACAGAAACAGCTTCAGAAGTTGGAGCAGGTGACTTACATGCACAAAGGACCAAGGTCTACCGGTCTTTAGGTCCAGTCCCTTCTTTTTTCCGGACTGAGGCGGCGGAGCGCTCATGCAGCGCGCAAGAGCGGGCAAAGGCTGAGGCGCGGCGAGAGCGAGCCAGGAGCGGGGGGGTGTGATGGGCGATAGGAGGGAACCAGGAGAGGTTGGTAAAATCCAGGTCAAAACCGGGTGGGTCAGCTTGACGATTATTTGGGCGAGAGCTCCAGGGTCGATGCAGCTAATTTGCGCCTTGGTCGTCCACTTTTTCATTAAAGGCTGGAACAGCTGTCACTGGAGTGCTCTAGGATTGCTCGCAGTGGCCTGTGGCGGATGAGATTTGTCCCTTCAAGCCAAGCCAAGCTCACAAGATTTCGAGAAGCGAATGCAGAGAACATGACCTTGCCATGCTGTCAGTACCACTAGGGCAGAGCAGGATGAGGACTGGTAGGTAGTCATAGCTTTCTACTTCAGGTCCAATCTAGGAGGCGCCACCCTCATCGCAGCGTGGAGACGACGCCCGGAAGGTTTTTCATCCCAAGCCTCGCTTCTGACGGTGGGTGCACCACCTGAGGACCTCGGGTTCGCTGGCGCGGGAACTGGCACGTTACAAGTGCCTTGCTTCGATGCCCGAGCAGGCTGGACGCCAAGAGGGGAGCGGTTGGTAGGTGGCGATAGACACTTGGACAGACACATGCCTTCTGAGGCGGGAGTTCAGAGATGAGATACTGTATCAGATATTGATCCGCTTTAGTATGCTTTAGTAAGGTTCCTGGCATCCACCTCTTGTGTGAGACCAGCGCTGGCAGATGGGGTCTCAAACGGAAGGTCTCCCGCTTTTCAAGTCTCTTCCATTGACATGAAAAGACCTTTCTGCTGTGAAAGCTCTTGTGCAGCTCGGTGCAAAAGAACTTGTCTTTCAGCTCGCCAGGTGTGTGCGCTTCGAGCCTTTTATGGCTTGCATGAGAGCTTCCCTGTGCAGCTCTTCTTCAGCCGCCATCACTTGCAGCTGATGGCAGATGGAGAGCTGGTTCAGACGCACCAAGGTGAGGTGGTTTGGGCATCCGCAGAGGGAGATTTACCGAGATTTACCCGTGCCAGTTGAGCTTCAGCGTTCTGTTCATTTTTGGCACCTCAGTTTTTCTTTCGCAACCCCTTTTTTTCTTGTTGTGGCTGATGAAGATCACCTGCACCAAGAATCTCCTGACATTTGCACACAGTTTTGTTTACCTTACCTGATGTCAGGGTCTGGAGATACTGAGATACTTTGCTTTGCATGTTTGTCTCTCCAGGCGAGGCAAACCAACTTCTCCTGCTGGCCGCGGCGGCGGCTGAGGTGCTCTGCTGCGGCACCGGCGAGCACGCCAAGCGGAAGCTGAAGGTCATCGCAGGTGGCCGGTCGGCTGTCGCCGCCAGTCCGCCGGCTGTCGGATCTTCACCTTGGGGTCGCAGCTGAGTGAATGGAGCGACCATGAAGACTCCAGCTCTTCGATCAGTGTCTCCCAAAATCTGGATGTTAATCTGGATGTTGTAGACATTTTGGTATATTTCGGTGTGGTATGCCTCCGTGTCTGTCGCAGTCCCATTTCGACCTCCACACCGGAAAAAGGGGCCCTGGCCCTACTCGAAAGGTGGCCTGCGTGCCTTTGAGAAAGACCGTTTCGAGGTGGCCGAGCGCTCCACGTCCTTGAGGCGGGGGTTGGATTTTTGTATGTGGAGGTATGCTTTTGGTGTATTTAGAGGTGTTTCGGTTCGGTGTTTCAGGGGTTTCTCAAGAATCAGTTTCACAATCAGAGTGAAGGGTTCCTCACAGCTGGTTTGAACTTCTGGTATTCCACTGTTGGAACCTTTTTAGATGACGCCTAACGGGTGTTTCTTTGGAGACTGCTTGCACCCTGTCCTGGACCTCGCGACACGGAAGAGGCTGGCGCAAGAGGCTGTGGAGCTGCTGGCGCCTTACCTGGGCCTGCGGGTGGTGACGCTGGAGGATGGAGCGGCCGACTGACCGGGTGGGTGTGACGGACGTGTGACGCGTTGGGGTGACCGGATGAGACCGGGTGATGTCTTTTGGATTCGCCCGGAGAGGTCGTGCTCATGAAGACATGAGAGAGGGTGATGGATCTTGATGGATTGACCAACGATGCACCAGTGTGGCTGAGAGGCTGAGACGTAGCAAATACTGGAATGTAGTGAAGGTAGTTAGGGAGGACGTGGCAGAAAAGGGGAAAAGCTCAAGCAGCATCAGCAGCTCACTGGTGCCTGGAAGGATGTGGCTGATACGCATCGTTTGCTGAGCCAGCGGGACGCTGCGACTGCAGCGTTGGTGTCGGCTGGGAAGAGTCAACTGGAAGAGCTGGGCGCAGGCGTGGCGTCCGAAGTGGAGTCGAGTCTGCCCAGATGCGGAGACGCAAGAGCCCACATGTGCTGCCGGTTTGAAGGGATGCTCGCACCTTTTTGAAGCTAATGTGGGATTCTATGGTCGGTCGATCACAGATGTTTCGACCTTCATCGAAATCGGCACCAGCTCCGTTGGTTGGGGGTCTCCGCATTGGACAGTGACTGAACCACCGCGAACATCGACCTCTGCGGTGTGGCGACCCCTGGCTCCGACTACCTGCGGGCGACCCGGGCCGAACCGCGCCGACTCGAACCCGCGCCGGTCGTGCACGGTGCTGACCTCACTGGCGACCTGCCGTCGGCCAGGTGGCTGTGTCTTGTTGTTACGCACCACCTCCGGCACCTTGGCTCTCTCCACCCGCCCTCCGGTGGGATCGATCGGTCGAGCTCGGTGTTTGAAAACCGGTCGGTGCCATGGCACGCACGCGCCGCGGTGCTTCGAACCGAGGAAGTTGGCTGGCTGTTTCGGCCTTGCGAACACGAAAGGCTGGGAGACTTAGAGACTTAGCTCCTGGGTCCATGTCATGTCATTTCTTGTTTTGATGATGAGAGAAATGAAGACTCCAAGAGAGGTTATCCAACCAAACATGGCGCCCGGGTTGTTCAACCTCTATCGGCCTCACACGGCTATCGGCCGTGTTTTTGGACATGCGGCCGAGAACACATCCCTTCTTGCCCTTCTAGGCTCTCTGTGAGCCTAGCGATGGGTTTGGTATGACCATGAGGCAGTAAGCCTTTTCGTGAACGACCTGATGATGCCTTCGATGCGGCAGGCCAGTGGCGAAGAGAAAGGGGGAAGCGTCGGGGATGTTTGAGACTGGAGTCGAGACCTCCCAAAGAGACCTCCCTGCCCAGCGTCCAGCGTCCCTCACTGCCCATGTGTTGAGGCCTGCGGTTTGCCTGCAGCCTTGCAAGCAGAGGAAGCTGAGAAAAGGTTTGTTTCTGCACGATTTCAGGGATTCGAGGTGGACAAGCGTCCTATGAAAGTTGAGCGAAGTTCAAGTTCTTATTGATAGGAACAATAGGATATTTATTTTCTTGTCTCAAAAATGAGTTGAAAAGTGCAATGGTCAGATCGAGCTTGTTGAGATGAGCGACACCCTGGTGCCACGCAGCTGTTGTGCTCGAGCCAAAGAGCTTAAAGAGCAAATGATATTTGAAAAGCTCATCCAAGTTTCGAAGAGGAAGTGCATGAGAAGCTTAATGGCCAGATGCTAGCCGCTGCTAGCCTACAATAGGAACAAGAGATCGCTGACTCGATCTCAGCATCGCAGGGTTTTTAAGCCCTTTCCAGCTCAGAATCGCACATTCCACTACTCACCTCTACAAGTCTTAACTAGGCGCATGCCGCAGAGCAGACCGGAACCTCCCCGACCAACGGGGTAGCAACCTAGCAACCACCAAGCTAGCTAGCCGTAGCCAAAACGGCCTTCCCGGGTCAAGCTTTTGGATCCTGAGAGGCGATGGCGCAGCCAGCCGCTGCGACCAAGGATGGGGTCGCAACTGTCAACCACGGAAAAGAGCGACCGACTGATGTTCATCAGCTTACTACATGCTCACTTCTGCATCAGCGATAGGAGCCAGATTCTTTAGATTCTTTTGGTAAAATTATGCAGAGGGTTTAAGTAAACAACTTTGTACGCACTCACAAGTTAACTGACATCCTACATGTGTAAGATGCAAAAGTTCACACTTTTGTTCGAAGCACATGTCATCGAGTTTCAGCATTTTCCCGCTTTTCTCACAGCACAAAGTGTAGGGGCCACGCCCGGCCAATCTTTTCATATCTTTTCATCAAGCCTACGTGACTGTGTCTAGAGCAGTTACCAAACATGGAAGACAAGGTCTCATAGCGGTTCACCAGGAGAACAATCTGGCTTGCTGTTGTTCTCCTTCGTCACGATGTAGCAATGACCGTCTTTCGTGGCTTTGTGTGGTTTTAGCAATATAATTAGTACCTTTGGTTTCTACACAGCAGCTGTCTTCCGGATGTTCCAGCGGCCACCTCTGCATGTCCTCTTTCTTTGGTTCTGTGGTCTTGGTTTGTTTGGGTCATGCTCATACGTGAGTATTGAGTGCGAAGACATCATTCCGAATCGTTCCCATGTTCATCACACCCAGCAGCCCAGCGACCAGTCCAAGCACCCAGTCCAAGTTGAACGGCCTTTTCCGGAGGTGTTGTTTCAACCAGAGTCGCGCAGGGTGCTGGGAGGTGTCGGGACGGCCCAGCGGCCGCCCGAGCCGGTTTGGCAGGACTTTGAGCCCTTGCAAGCCGCGCCCGACGTGGGCTTTTGGCAGGAGCTGAGCCAAAGGAAGCTGGACCTGTGGCGTGCCTGGACCGAAGACCCTGGTGATGGCGACGGTGGGAGGGGGAGTGACCTGGATTGGGGTCAGAATTTGTTCTGCAATCCCACCTAGAGATACCGAGAGTCGAGAGTGAACATTTTTGAATTCTACTCGGCGAGCCACAGAATTTACCGTTAACCATCTCTGACGGGTTATCCATCCAGTGACCAAAACAAAATTGGGTGGGATGGGCATGTCTCAAAATAGGGAGGACGTTTTTGAGGACCGAGACCCCTGGAGAAAGTTCGGACATGAAACCCACACCATTGAGATCGTGCTGCACCTCCACCTCTCACCAAGTCAGGCCTGGACTCCTCCAATGTGCCGGTCACGGCCTTCTACGAAGCTTCCCAGGCGCCCGGAGACGTTGGGAACACAGGCGGAAGTTCCACGGAGACGTTCGTGCCTGGGTGTTGGGAGACGTTTTCGGGTTGCTTTTGGACCCCTTTTTCCATGGTGATTGCTCTTATTGAACTTTGTGGGGTGCGGTAGATTCAGTACTCAGTATCGGTGGATGATGGATCTGCTGTGGATGTTGGGGTCGGTAGGCCTCACGACATGGTTTGCTTGAGGAGCATCACGAGTTCCATGCGTTCTGGAACACATCTAGATGAATGTAGGAGCGTTCGGTACACGTTCGTTCCTCTGAACCTTTGTGAGGCACCGGTCGTCTTCTCCTGCGACAGGTTCGTTCTGGAGGAACTGTTCACTTCCTCCGAATTCCCAGGAACCGGTACAAAGAGAAATCCGACCACAGAGGTTTCTGGACCAAAGAGTGCCTTCTACCAGAGGTTTCTGGAAGCCTCCATGGTCTTATTTTGGGCGAACTCAAGACCCTACAATAGTTCTCTTTGGATAAAAACTCCTATCCAAACCACCCTGGTGGAGGGACCCTGTTTGTCCCTTCTAGGTTAGTTTGGCCAACCGGCGTCGCCTCCGACCTGGTTTCAGGCCTCAAGGGTTCCTGCGAAGTGCTTCTTGCAGAAGGACGCCTTTCAAGACACACGTGTGCCAGTGGGTGCCGTGAAAGTGGTGGGGGAATTGAGACTCGGCATGTGAAGAAGCTCCGGGGCCGCCAGGAGTGACTCCTCGAGAGCAGACATTGCAGTGAAACGTAGTGACGCATTCAGAGAGCGTTGTATTTGCAGCAGGAAAGGGACAGTAACAAGAATCTACTAGCGGCTCCTGGCATCGCTAACGCTTCCAAGAGCTCCAGCGCTCCACTGTGGAGGCATTCATGCCTTCTAGAGTGAGCGTTGTGACGACACTGATCTGTTGACACAGCGCTCTGAGGAAGAACTTCAACACCGAGGAGGAGTTCCGTGCATTCTTGGGGAATGCGGATGCCAGGCAGAGCTGCTTGGCAGAGGCGCGGGAGATTCGTGGCATCCACAGGGCAGGACAGTTGTCTAAGAGCACGCCCCTGGCGAAGCTCTCAATCTTCCTGATTCTGGTGCCCCAACCCCTCCCTGCTCTACCGCCGCGATGCCCGCGGTTTGTCCTTTGGGGAAGCAGATCAGTTTTTGGTCATTCTTGACCATCCCTCACAATGTGATCTCATATATGGATTTATTTTTGTTGAGATCAATCCCAGCCAAAGCAACCTGAATAGAATAAGAAGCAACCTCAGTTGGGAGCATAGAGAAACAACCTGAACAGTACTGCATTTTGGGGATTTAGGAGGCTGATGCAAAGTGCAAGGTGAGTTCTGGAATCAACAAGCGGTTCCACATGGCACATATAACTTAACTCCTCAATCATCTTGCATGATCTTTGAGCACCTAGCTAACCAAAGATAGGAGAAGCCTTTGGTTGACTTCTCAGGCAGATGCAGTTTTCGCTCCTGGCGGCTCGTGCCAAAGTGGCACACACAAACTGACCCCTGCTTTCCGGTTGTACCCGAGCGGTTCGTACGTCGCCAGGCGGTGGCGCAAATCTCGAGCGCGATCGCGTCGGGCAAGGCGCTCCAGGAGCCTTGGCAGTTGAGGCTGGGATGGTGGGTGTCGATTTCGAGAGCTGCCGGATGATTTTTTTTTGCTGTTTGGATGTTGTTGGAGGTGTTGGAGGTCGGGATGGGGGCGAAGTGATATTGTTTTTGTTTTCATGAGTTTGCAAGCGTTTTCCATACAATTTCCTAGACTTGATCCGCCTCGATCCGCGCCGACGGCGCGTGCTTTTCCTTGCCAGGCGGCTCCTGCTGTGTAGCTTTGCTGATCTCAAGAAGTGGCTTGGTGAAGCGGTACTCAGGGCATGCTAGTTACTAGAACTGTGCAGAACTCTCAAGCAGGCCGTGCTTTTGCAGAACTCTTGACTTGCAAAATCGATGGAAAAATGCCTGCTTGCGCATGTCCAAACTGTCCAGACCTTCACGCGTTTCAAACACCTTGAGCACCCCGAGAACATAATCTTACATGTATGATCTTGCACGACGAAACGTTCCCGATTGTTTTCGCAATAAGTAAGGACATGCTCAGACTCGTTTCTCTTCTCAGGTACCACTATTCCTACCTCTTAACTTTGCCGGCCTTGAAGACGCCAAAACCCTGGCAGCGTGTCAGAGAGCCCATCGAAGATTTGGGCCCCGAAGTACTGGCGCTCGTGGCTAAAGGCTTACGCACCTTGGCGAAGAACCCAAGCACGAAGGGATGCTGGTGACCCATACAAACATACTTTGCTGGTTGACATCCCCCCAAACAGACAATTTTTCCTGGGTTCAAATCCTTTGGAACCAGACCGGGTCAAAAGTTCAGACCGTGTTTTTCTTTGTAGTGGAGGTTGGCCGGGTGGAGGAGGTATTCTTTTGGGCAGATGAGGTCCCATCCTGGGTCCTCACGCATTACGTACGTGAGTATCGTACATTGACCAGCAGAATGCAGCTACATGAGGCCAGTCATGCGGTTCGACATCAACGCCCCCGTTTGGGTTCTGACATTGCTGAGGTGAGAAGGACTTTGATGGACTTTGCCTTCTGACACGGGCGGCCGATGTGGGCTGGTCCTTGCGGCCGATGGCAGACTTGCTGAACGTCAAGGCCTTTTGAGTTTTCACGAAGGCATCGGAACCATGTAAAAGCAAAGGAGTTTGTTCTGAGGGATGCGAAAGGATACAATAGGTATCCCAGGCATCCCAAAGAAGATCCGCACGGTCGTGACAGGTTGAATCAGAAGATGATCTCATCCTTGTCTTTGTGGACCCCTCCTCCGAGGAGCTCGGTTTTCCTCCTGCAGACGTATCCTTGGCATGGAAGGCGACCTTATAAAACTATATATGTATGTAATCCAGGGATATTCGTGAGTTGCTGGATTATTTTGTGTGCTGAGGTATGTAGGGGGTTGGAGGCGATCCTTTGGATTACTGTAGTTCTTCTTTTTAAACCTTTAAGTTATTGATAGATGTTCAATTAATAACTGTTTCCAAGGTGTTTTTGAATCTGGATTAGATACTTGTCAAGAACTATTCCGTGATGTCAGCCTCGTTTCTCAAAACAACTGGAGGTTTCCAGAGGGGTATGCGCGATCTAAGGGACCTGCCATTCCTTCACATTCTTGAGAGGAGCACTGTAGGGTGAAGGCAAGTGTGTAATCTTTGCAGCACCATGTCGGCCCGGTGTTGTTGCTCCCTTTTCGCACCTGAAAAGCGCCCGCAAAACCAACAGTGTCAACACCAGGAGGCTCCGGCCTGGTCGTTGCAGAATGCCCTGGTGCTTCTGGCCAAGCATCGGCCTGGCCGACGGCGCGTCCTGGCCTTCCGTGGCTTGGAGAAAGGCGTCACCGCGCCGTTTGCCGAACGGATGGGTCGTTCGAGGGCGGAACAGTTTCCGCCCAATGGGACGAGCGAGACACATGGTCATCATCGTCAAGGTCTACAGAAATATTTTTCTAATCCATGGAAGAGCGGGACGGTGATGCGTACGTCAATTTTGGTGCATGCCACGCAGACATGAACCGAGCATTTGGACGAACGGAGGACGACAAGCGAGGAAATGGTTTACGAGTTCAAGTTGTCTACTTTCACTCTGCTTCTGTGGAGTCATGTTTTACCACTTACAGTGTGGGGCCAGCAGCTTCTCATCAGGTTATATATATATATGTATAAATATAAATATAAGCTCCTGCAACTAGAGTCGTCGGGTCTCATCTCGGGATTCTGCCAGTTCTTCTCAGATTCCCCAAAGCCGAGAGTTTGCACAGGACCAGTGGCCAAGTGACCACAGGATCTCTTCCCTTCTCAACTCAACAAGTCGGAGGTTGAGGATCCAACAGGTCAGTGTCTTGGTTCGCAGCTGAGGAGACCCACAGCTGGCAGGAGCCTCTGGCTACACCTCTTCAGGCATGGTGGATGAACACGCGGAACGCAGACATAGAAGGTCAGAGGTTGTGTGGTGACCGCCATGCATGATGGGCAGATGACCATGGGTGTGGAAAGGGATCTGCAAGTACTGTATCATTTCTTTCCAAAACATACGACGTGGCAAACCCGTGTCACATCTGAAGCCCACACCTCACCCAACTCTTTAGAAGATGGGGAGACCTCACCTCACCTATTCTTCCACTAGGTTTTCCATGCATGCAGAACTGCAGGGGATTTAGGAGTAGGGCCGTAGACGGGTGTCTCAGGGAAGGAATCCCCTTGACCCTCCTCGCCGCATTCGCCCGATTTGGGGTGCCCACATCAAAGTCCACCCTCCGGGACTCCGGGACTAGCCGGGTGACTGCTGGACCCCACGCGGACCCGCGAGCTCGCGGGAAGGTCCCCAGCTCCGTTCCCTGCTCTTCCGCTACGCCTTGGATGCTGAGATGGAGTCGTCTGGTGACTGCCGTGCTGGCTGGTCGATGCTCAGCCAGATGGCCGGGACCCACGGGACCCGGGACCCACATGGCGGTCAAGACCAAAAGCTCCAAGGGACCATGGTAGATTCACATGGCAAATGATGGTCGGCTGACCTGCTTGGTTCATTTTTGAATCTATGCCTTGGCTTAGGCTTAGGGGTCAACGAGGTCGTGAGGTGCCACCCACGACCCACGACCCCATCTCTCCACGACTGGTGGAGCAGACCTCTGCCAGGGCACTCATGGCACTCATGGCTCTCATGGCTCAAGGAAGATTGCCACGGTGGACCTGACGCGTTTCCTGGACTCCAAGATGGTGGCGGCTGCTCTGCCGCGGTGTAGACAGTGGGCTGGGGTGGGCTGGGGTGTTGTGATCTCCGTGTGGTGGCCTGTTGTGGCCGTCCGCTTTCGGGAGAAGGAAGTCTTTGCAATTATGACGTACTGCGTATCTGTATCATGTTAAGAACCACGGAAAACCACTCCTTGGCTGTTGGCAGTCACTGGCCTTGCCCATTGTTGTTCAAACACGGTTTCATTGAAAAAGAACACCTATTTAAAGATTTTAAAGCCGGACAGTTTTCTTGTCCAGTACGCACCCCACCTGCAGACCAAGCTCATGACGTGACAAAGACCACTGGCTCATAGAGGCAAGTTGTGCAAGTTGTGGCGCTCAAGAACTCCATTTTCATTGAGTCCAAAGCACATCACCTTTCGGGGATTTGCAGGTTTCGGGCTTTCAGGGTCTTTCATGGGTTAAAGTAACTTAAAACCGATGTTTTCATTTTCACCCGACCTTCCGTGGAGACGGAAGGGATCGAACCAGGCTAACGCGGTGGATCTCAACATCAAGTTGATGAAGTGGCGGGTGCTGCCGGGCTTGGAACCTGACCGACTCAAGGAGAGGTTGGCTTGGATGGGTGGGAGGGGCAGAAGATTCGCATGACCATGTGCATACCACAAAGTAAGAGTGTTTTTCGATTGCAGAACTTTTCACGAAAGCTAGCATGCTAGCTGAGTTCTTCTTTGTAGCAATTGGTAGTGGAATGAGCTGCGCGCCCTAAAGCTTGATATATCACACTAAGGGGGGGGGGCCTGGCCCCCCCACTCTAGCGTGATATATCACGCTAAGGACCCCCCCCCTCCCCGCGGTTCAACTCCCAGCTGCAGGCGTTTTGGCATTAGTGGAGGTGTTGTTACATGTTGGAAATTGTTGGTGTTTTGTTTGGTATTTTGGATTTTGGGGTGTGCGTTCAAAACCAGGATGTCAAAGACATCATGCACTTGAATTTTGGATGATCTTGGATAGCGGAAACACATGTAATTATTGGAGAATCAAGATGACACTCATGGGATTTTGCCAGCGTCTTTGCAAAACATCCACTGATTTAGTGTTTGTATTTAGGATTCATTGACGAGCTTTGTCGGAAGCATGGTCAGCTTCGTCGGAAGCATGATCATTTGCTCGTTTTTGTCTTGTGGATGCATCACATAACATTTCGGCTGCGCCTCGTCAGTTGATGAATCTTCATTACCTGAGAGCAAAGTGTTTGAAGTTATATACTGTCTTGGACATGTGTGGTTTGGCAAAATCACGAAAGCTAGCATTCTAGCTGAGTTCTTCTTTGCCTTAGCAATTGGTAGTGGAATGAGCTGCGTGCCTTAAAGCTTCATATATCACACTAACCCCCCCCCTCCCCCACCCCACGGTTCGACTCCCAGTTGCGCCGTGTAGCGGGGGTTGGTTGAACGTGTGAACGTGGTTGGTTGGTTGGTTGGGTGTAAACGGTGGCTTGGTGTAAACGGTGCTGCTGCTGCCGCTCTGCTGCTTGCTGCTGCCGTTTGCTGCTGCCGCTGGTTGCCGCTTTTGTAGCTGCTGCTTTGCTACTTGTTGCGGCTTGGTGCTGCTGCTGCTGTTGCTGACGACGCCGCTGTTGCTGCTGCTTGCTGCTGGTGGTGCTGCTGCTGCTACTGCGGCTTGGTGCTGCGCTGCTGCTGCGTGGTACTGCTGGCTGGCTGCTGGTTGGTGGTTGCTGCTGGCTGCTGGCTGCTGGCGGCTGCTGCTGCTGCTGCTGCTGCTGCTGGCTGCTGCTTGCTGCATAGGACTTGCACTTCACTGTTACAAGTTCTTTACCCCTATTTCTAAGCGGGTGGTAAATTTACCACCCAGGTTTGCTATAACCATACACCGGCTATTTCCTCAAGACACTCTATTCCTGATACCTTTTACCAATGCTTATCCTACACTACGGACGCCCTAGTGTATGCACAGTCCTTGTGATGCTTACCCCTCGTTCCGGCTCAAGGCATACATAAGCGGGGGGTAAATTTACCCCCCAGATCTGCCATAACCATAAGCCGGCTATTTCCTCAAGACATTCTACTCCTTATACCTTGTACCAGTGCTTATCCCACACTACGGACGCCCTAGTGTATGCACAGTCCTTGTGACGCCAGAAATGCTTACCCCTCTTTCCGGCACAAGGCATACATAAGCGGGGGATAAATTTAACCACCAGATTTGCAATAACCATAAGCCGGCTATTTCCTCAAGACACTTTATTCCATATACCTTTTACCCGTGCTTCTCCTACACTACGGACGCCCTAGTGTATGGACAGTCCGTGTGATGTCAGAAATGCTTACCCCTCGTTCCGACTCAAGGCGTGCAAAGGCGGGGGGTAAATTTAACCCCCAGATTTGCCGATCACGCATCTTCGTGCCTGCCAACGAGTGCACCCGTGTTGTTCCAATGTACCCTTCCCAGTCGGCGATGTCACCTTTACATTTTTTAGCGCAAAGTATGTACGTAGCAACCTTTCTCCCAAAACATGTAATCACTACTACATGCTTTGCCGACTATGTAACTAGTACATCCGGTGCGATTCGGCTAGCTTTCGACCTCCTGCCCCTGGCCTCAAGTCGGCCCTCTGGAGTCCGGAGCCATGCTCTCCAAGCTCTGTAGGTGTGTTTTTGTTTTCTAGCTTCCGACCATGCTTTGGACACTGTTGCTGCTGCCGTGTTGCAATGCCTTGCACAAAGCCTTCCACAGTCGAGTCGAACTGCGGCAAGCTGTCTTTGACTGGTCGAGGCGGGAACTCATAAGAGTCGAAGTACGTATACCGTAAGCCAGGCGTAGCCAGGCATCAACCAAACAGCTAGCTTCATGATTTCATGTTGTCCTGGATGATAGAAAGAGCAAATTGCTCTCCTTCCCAGCTTCCAAACAGATGGTCATTGCCCTTTGCTGTGATTCTTGCAGCTTCGAGAGGCATAGTCCTGGCCGACAGAGGATTCCACAGATCTATGGAGATATTGCTGACTGGGATGTCTCGGAGGTCACGGACATGAACCACCTTTTCGACGGATTGTTTGACATCAATGAAGATGCCAAGCAAGAATCATTGTTGGCTGTCTTGCTCAGTGCCATAAGTGGTGCCACTCAGTGCAGTTTCATATCTCTCATGTACGGCCAGACAACAAGGTAGCCACTCTTGCCCTCCTGTTAACCGTTAAACTGCCAAAGCTCAAATGCCTCGGAACACTCTCCGCTCTGATTCTGAGGACGTATCAGCCTGGAACACGTCGGCAGTGACACGCAAGGACGGCGTGTTCTGGAATGCCACTTCCTTCAACCAGCCGATTGGCT